TACTAGAAACATGTTTTTACCTACATAGTATTAAATCTTGTACGATGGTACGGAACCCTTCATGCGCGAGTCCGACTCGCACTAAGCCGGTTTTATTTAGAAGTCCGCTATTATAATCGAATGTATTTTCATAATTTGCTATATTTGCTTTTGCACCTGTAACTTCCTCTTAACTCAACCTGATAGTATGTCGTTTGGCATTCAGTACGCCACTTTGTATATTACAATTGCCAATAACTTCTTAATAAATAAAATTTATGCATGTCGGTTCACTTAATAGTTGTGTCTCTTTAGTATTTCAGTGTATTTCAAAGGCTCAATATAATTCTTGGCACTAATACTTCTATGTCAATCATGGGACGATGGCAACTATTTTGCGCAACATCTGCTATATTTCATATCTACTTACCGAAATAGTTTAATAATGTGGCAGATATGCGTACGATTGCCTTGTTGGTCTAGTGGTAACCGCGACTGCTGATTATGTGGTCTCGGGTTCAAATCTCTGGTCTTGCCCAAATAAGTAATTAGGTTTTATTGTCAAGTAATTCTCAGCAGCAGACAAGTGTTCTCAGTAGGATCTCTCTCCGATCGGAATTCTGCCCCACCGGATTTTGATCAAAAAAATGGTGGAGTGCACCTGTGTTTGTACATACACTCGTACACCAGGGCAAGATTACTGTCCTACGCATATAGCTTGTTTTCATTAAGGCTGGCCGCATGTTCGATATTCAGTAGGTGAACGCCCTAGACTACAATATTTACAATATGTGCCAGAGTAGGCTCATGCAAAACGAGGCCATATGATGGTGTATGGCGCGCCCACTGAGCTGCGGTTGCGATGTTCTACAAATAAAATACCGAAATTGACACAGTGTGGTAGAACGCATATTGACACTATGCGAGGCGAGAGTGTAACGTAATTATTTCATTGCTTCTAGGCACTTCTATTCTGGTTATACTGCAGATATTTTTATTTCGAAGGTTTTCGCGCAGAGAAATTCCTAGTATAGCATCCTCATACGGCCAGCAACGATAGACCACGTCTCAGATCCATACATAATTACTGCCAACATGCACTGGTTATACACTCTTGTTTTAAAGTATTGAGGTAAACGTGATGAGAATATATGTGTATTCTTCCGAACGCTGCCCAGCCGAATTTAATCCATTGATTGACCACTCTGTCGAAGTTAGATTTACATACCTAATCGTATAATTTGTCCGCAAAGGTCAACAACTTAGAGTGTAGTGCTCCCAACAACTATTCGATTCGTCGCAGTTGTATAGAATTATTGCGAAGCGGCTCCCCGCCGGCACAACTAACATGTGGCTGTGTGCGATAGTGTAAATAGGGAAAGATAATAGTATCTTAAATCTCAATTATCAAAACACTGTTTTAAGAAAAAAAGGTGTTTTAACAATTAAATTTAAAATTAAATAAATAAATACTTAACTAAAACACGTCCACGCTCGCCCGAGGCTCTCGTGTAACTGACGCGGTGCGCTCGAGACAGTGACTTATATATAAATGTATGTTTGTGTATTTGTGCATGGTAAATTATTAGTAAATAAATAACAATATTTATTGTATACTATATATATGCAAACACTACATCTCTTCTTATCAAGATAGTTATGCAACCACAAGACCATAGGGTTGTTAGGGTTTGTACTTAGAGGGGGCTGCATAACTATTAGGCAGTATCCAGTAACTGTAGAGTCAGCGCTTTTGGTTGCATGAGATATCAGACAGAGCTCATGGGAGCGGCCACTTCGTTTTGACACCGACTTCTGTCAAGACGTATTAATTAAGTAATTAGAATTATAATTATTGTAATTAGAAATAAATAGTTTTTAAAAAATCATTTTACGTTCCCGTAAACTTGACTGGCGCAGCCGGTAGGATCGTCATACTTCGGTAGTGTTGCGTCCTTTGCGAATTCGATATAAAACTCTGTCGGAATCGGAGGTCCGCGGCGCGAAGAAAAAACCGAGACGATCCTCGAACCAAATCAAATTCGTCAAGGAAGCGAAGCTGATCCTGGACCATGAGAGCAGTTGGTGGCTGGTGAGTAGAACTTTTCACCATCCTTTCCACTACCTCGGCGTTCTGTTATCTTGAGATCGAACTTCTCTCATTTTAACGTATTCTGGTTAAATAGTTTTAAAAAAAATTGTTATAAAATTTAAGTTTTACCTATTTTAATAAGTACCATATACAAGAAATCATAATTTTGCAAAGAAATATTTTTATTAATCATATACATTTTATTCCTTAATATTTTGTGTGACATTTTATTATTTGTTAGATTTATTTTATATTCTTTATATATTGCTTGTGTGTAAAAAAAATACATAACTATGGAGAGTATTATACTCATCACTGGTGAAATGATTAAAATCATTCCTTTATTTGATGGTGACAAACGCCACTTAAGTCTATTTTTAAGAATGTGTGAATATGTTTTAAATAAATTTAATGGCTCAACGCAACAGAATTTGTACGTGATGAATACAATAACAAGCCGCCTTATCGCCTCACCGACTAATGCAGCTGCATTATCGACCACCACAACCTAATAACAATCGAATTCAACTCGGATATCGTCCACCCCAATTTGGCTATAGACCTGTAGGCCTTCAGCCTTTACCTTCAATGAGTCCTCAACAGTTCGGTATGCAGCAGCAATATAACAACGATAGTAATATATCTCAGCATAACCAACCGCGAATTAACACAGATGTGTCGATGTGCACAGCACCTGTAGCACGACCGCAGCAAGATTTTAGGTTAAACGAATTAGAGTTAAATGAAAATTATTATAATGATGACATGTATTGCTACGAAAACGCAAATTATTTCGCTCAATATGCTAACGACGATCCTTACTATAACCCCGAATATCAATCAGAAAAGACTGTAAACCCGGAAACTGAAAGCAAACCGGCTGATACAAATATTAAGACGACGGAAAATATTGAAAATTTTCACATAACCGCTTCAAGCAACGCTGACGCACTATCCCGTATCAAACTAAACGCATTAGGTTCTGACGATGACAGAGATTCGTTGCAAGTGAACGTAGACGATAAAGACAAAAACCGTGAACCCATAGAACTAAATAATGACACAAATTTAAAATTACCTTATATATATATCCCGGAGTTAGATTCAAAATTCATGTTAGATACCGGTAGCACGCATTCATTTATAAGCCGAAGCAAGGCATACCAATATTTTCAAAACGCTACTACACTACACATGCTACAAGTAGCCATAATCAGGTCATAGTTATTCCGCTACCACCCACATTTAAAAGCCCCGAATATCACAAGTTCTATATATATATATAATGTAGATTCGGGTTATGATGGCCTCATAGGTAATGACCTATTAAAACAATTAGAGGCTGTCATCGATTTATAGTGCCTTGCAGCAAATTTACATATTAAACTACATTTAACATCGATCGCAATATGTTACGATGGCTTACCACAAGTGTCGGTGTGATAATGTATCGTATCAGTAAAATTCGAGTTTAAATTGACCATTAAATGTAGTGTCTCCTTATTTAAGTATGAACATGCATGCACGTACCATATTAACATACGTGCTGGAAACGTGAACTAAAACTAGATAAAGCTACGAGTATACACGTATTATTAATTTAGCTACATTGTTTTTTTTATTTTGTAACTTAATAAAGTAATAAAATGTTGCAAGTTATGAATACCTTGTAACATACAAAAAAGAAGGCACTAGGTAGAAGATATCATTAAAAGAAAAGCGGTTTTTGAAAGAGCTTTGTCTGAGCAAGGGGATGAGATATTGTATTTGGAATGTATGTCTAGCAAGGTTAGTCGACATGATAAGAATATAAAACTACGAAGGAGTATAATTAATAAGTAAGAGTATTCTTAACTGAAGAGTATGTATTCGTGGATATATTGATGTTTTTTAACTGTCTTCGGTATACATTTAAAAACATGTGGATTGATGATTTAGATGCATGTAGTCGTAATAGATATGTTTTGACAGTCAGGTACCCTAAAGCGAACTATTTGTGAGCTTATAAATAATTTGAACTATAATCCGTCCGTCTTGGCAGTAACACCCTTTTACCTCTTAACAAAACCTCACCCTCTTACCTAACAAACAGAATTTAAACCACCACTGTTTTTCAGTTACAAGGGCAAGACAGCCTCCTGTATAATAACAGGATTTGAGTTATTCCCGTTTTATCTACTAGGATGTGACAACGAATCTGTGACTTCTTTTGTATAAAAATAGTTGTAGAAGTCCCTTTTACTTTATATCAAAACCTCACCCTCTTACCCACCAAACAGTGGTGAAACTGCCGCTGTATTCCAGTTAGAAGGGCAAGAAAGCCTCTATAATTATAGGATTTGAATTAATCTTGGTCTATCTACTAAGATGTGACAAAGAATCTGTGACTTTCTTTGGGTAAAGATGGTTCTTTTTATTATAAGTGTGGAAAAAATCCATGTGGCTCACCTGATGATAAGCCGCAACTGTAACAATTGAGCATCTGTAACGTAATAGCAATTGCAGATTTGACCTTCTAGAAAGAATTAGGCACTTTGCTTGAAGGTTCATAAGCCATAGAAAAAACTAGCTAGCAACAGTAAAATTCACAAAGATGAACGTCGCAAAACATTTACACGCAGGAGAATTGACAACCCTTGATGCTTACCATAAAGGGACTATAACTCACGCTTTCACTATAAAATGTCTTTTTAAATTTGTCACATTTAAAAATGAAAATAAAGTTCTTTGTAGATCTTCATTTTAAATAACGTACATTCTCGCAATCGTGAATTACATCTGAATAACAAACTGGAAGTTTAATATGTACCTCGAATTAAAAACCTAAGTAGTGTTTGAAAATTTTAAGAAATATTTTGCCCTAACTTTTTGAATACAAATTCAAGTTCATTATATAAAAATGTTAACCAGTGTATTATTCTGTTAACAGGTACACAATAATGCGGCGTTTATTAAGCATCACACTTGTCACCATCGCATTTGATTACGTATCTTCACAAGAGAACCGAGAACACCAAGGACCTCAAACATGCGGTGGACATTTAAAGGGCCATGTGGGAATAATACAGACGCCAAATTTTCCAAATCCGTTTCCAGTTCCAATAAAATGTCGATGGGTCATCGAGCATGATATAGTTAATGGCACTATATCGATATATTTCACACAACAGTATACCACGAGTGGGTTAACGTTCACTGAGTACATGTATTACGATGAATCGTATAAATTAGGCGAGAGAAGAGCCTTGACAGTTACAGAGGAGAATATAACAAGGATTAAGTGGTTACAAGTATGAACAATAGATTATGTTTTTTTTTTTCAATCATAAAAAACAACAATTTATATATACCAAGGAATAAAAATGAATATGTTCATTTTTGAATTGTATTGCGTGCGCAGCTGCTATATTTGAACCGATGCACAAGTTTAATTCAAACTTATTCTGATCCATACAGCTCTTTTAAAATGGTCCTCAACTGTATTTACCATTTTAAATTGCATATTGATTATTATTAAATTTAAAGATTATAACATTATTAGAATATTTATTATATTTATACTTGCATATTTAACAGGAATACTAGTGTACTACAATATACTGACGTTTTCAGGTCCAAAGTCCTGTTCTGGTCATAGAATTAAATTTAGATAGATTAGAGGGAACCCAGCTAAGAGCGCTAGGCCTGCTGTCAGTATTCGGATTCAACGTTACTTACGTTGTTCAAAAACCTCAAGACCCACCGGGGCCATCATCATGCAGCGCGATTGAGTGTCGACTTTTAGGACACTGTTATGCTAGACACGATTACAAGTAAGTTTGATTGTTTAAACCTCCTTACGCAAAACTGCGTCAACCCACACTAAAATAATATATTAGCTTTAAATACCAAAATACTTCTATGAGCCTTGTTATAGTAAAATATTTCTCAAGGAGATGGTACAAATTGAACGAAATTCGTGATTGCTTCGTACAATTTTCATGACGGTAAATTTGAAAAAAATGTTCTTTATATTGAATGCAAATCAAACCAAACTTCAAACGTCAATATCTTAAAAGTGGCCTTTTCTAGGTTGGATGGTTTTATGCATAAATATACACATCTATAGCTAAATATTTTAAGAAAATAATAAAACGTTCTAATCATTTCTCTCTCGATTTCACAGCCCTAAAATTGCTTAAATAATATGTCGATTATTTTACTTATCTTGACAAAGCCTAAAATGTTTTTAATTGCCCTTAAAAAAGGCTTTCATGAGAAAACCCACTTATCATTTGTACCACCCATAAATTATAAACCCCATCCTTTCATATATTTATCAAATGTTTTTTATCATTCAGGAAATTTTTCTGCTCGTGTTTTGAGGGATATACAGGAGTTGATTGCGGAGTTGGTCCATTATGTCCAAAAACCTCTAACATGTGCAGAAATGGTGGTACTTGCAGGTAAATGATTGGTTTCCTTAATATTTGTTATGTACTATGCTAAATAATAGTAAATTCATAAGAATATTTAACATAAATGGCAGAAATGGACTTCACAAAATTATAAGTTAAGTAGATAATTTTTACGTTTTTTGTTTTGATTTTATTGATGGTTGAGCACACGTACATATTTTGTATTTCTTTAGTTTAGGATTGGCTGATACAAATTTCTTCCTTCATCTCTTTTTTACTGCACATACCTGTGTGGCATACCTCGTCCAAGCGCACAGTCGTTGACGCAAACCGCAAGGAAACGGACAACTCAGTATATAGTAGTCTATAGTAGTTTGTATTTTTCCAAAAACCGAAATCGTTACACTGGGCAACCCCGTCAGAGCAATTGTGTAACTCTGTTGGAAATCGCTTGGAGGTGGTAATCACTTAGCTTTTTATTTTATTATATGAAAGTATTAATCCAAAAAGAAATCGGTATATAAACGATTATGTGACTGTAGGAAGGAAATGGGGAGATCTCCCGCTGGGAAAGGTGAACACCTTTCCCAGAACTGCCAGGGGAGCGGCCAAGACTCCAAGTTGTAGTACGGAGCTATTCTATATAATATACTGCTTTAACTTCGGAACTTTGTTAGCGCGATTTAGGCTTCGATGTGATTTGCTTGTGGCGCGACGACAGCGTCGTCACATCACCCCCCTGCTCAGACCGGACGTCGATTGTGTAGTCCGATTGCCGGTGCGCCCTTAATGCCGGTGGGGAATGCATGCTGTGTGCGTAAGGGCAAGTGACGCCGATGCGAACGTTATCCCGGTGTATAATGTATGCCGTACTACGCACTTGCAAGTGATGCCGGTGAGAACGATGAGCCGAAGCAAGTGCCAGGGATTGCCTTGTAGTCTGCGGTGAGTCGAGAAGAAAGCAAGTAATCTGCGAAAGTGCCGTGAAGCAGAGGCGAGCAGTAAAGCTCAGAGCCGTGCCAAACACTGTAATGCACAGAGTAGCTTGAAGGAACAGGAAGCATTATTATTCCAGTGCTGCGATGAACCTTTGTAAAGCTAGATGGCTTGCAGAATGTGAAGACTGCAGACAATATCACCTCGGGAGCGAATGAATGGGGTACTTGAGGATGATGGTGAAGGTTTGGAAGTTGTAGTTTCCGAAGGTTGCTAGTTGCATGTTCGTATCACGTCGGGGTCACCAGTGTTGCGGGTGGAAGGAAAAGGGGAGATCTCCCGCCGGGCAAGGTGTTCTGCCCTGGGAGCGGCCAACGCTCCGAGTTAGAGTTCGGAGCTATTCTATATATACTGTTTTAACTTTGGAAATTTGTTTGCGCGATTTAGGCTTCGATGTGTTTCGCTTGTGGTGCAACCACAGCGCCGCCACAATACTTAATCATTTACACAACGTTATCAAAAAAAATAATTATAAAATGAAATTAAAATGAAACCGTGTAGTGGCGGTGTAAGAATATTCTCTCCCGCATCGTCCTGTGAGTGTCGTAAGAGATGACTGAGGGAAACAAACCAGGAGATGGGCAGCAGCGTCTTCCTAATAACAATCAGAAAAAATTGCAGCTACACCCCACACGCCACGCGTGTCAACTATGGCAAATAACCTCCTTTTAAGGCAGTTTATGGGAAAGGCCTAGATCCATCAGTAGACTTTGATAGGATGTATTGAATGAAGCAATGAATGAAACATTTACAACTCAATTAAACCAAACATCAAACGTCAAAATGGGCCGACCATGATTCTCACCACTATAGGTCGCACGATTGGCAATCGCAGAAATAGATGTCTAAAATATTGACTCTACTCTCTATTGCTAAGAATTGTGTATAGAGAACAAAGGAGATGGTACAAATTGAATGAAATTTGTGATTCCTTCGTACTATTTATAAATTTTGGACTGAGAATTTTATATACAATACATTATATGTTTTAAACGTTGCCGCCACTCCTTCGACTTCCGCCAATCGTGTGCCGTGCTTGTCTGACTAGCTTTTCTACAACCGTTAAAGATTATTGAAAAATAAAATATAAAATGAACGGGAATGTCATAATATATCAATGTTAAGTCACGTGACTTAGCATGGCTTTGCTTATAATATATATGTTACTAGCTGGCCAGGCAGACGTTGTTCTGCCCTTTTCAATGACCCTTCATATAAAAAATCCTTAAATTCGTAATAAAAAAATATTGAATTTCACTTATCAGGATAAAAACTATCCTACCTCTTAAGTTGGACCAAACTGCACAGAGTGTGCAAATTTCATTGAAGTTCAGTAATTTAGGATTTCATCGCGGACGAACAACGTGACACGTATTTTTTATATATAAAGATTAGCTGGCCAGGCAGACGTTGTTCTGCCCTTTCCGACAACATTTAACCATACAATTTTATTTAATTCACAATAAAAATGTTGAGGGTCACGTATCGAGATAAAAAGTATCCTATCCCTCAAGATTAACCAAATTGCATAGAGTCTGCAAAATTTCATTGAAATCAGAGTTTATCGCGGACAAACAATGTGACACGTAATTTTTATATATAAACTAGCTGGCTTAGCAGACTTTGTTCTGCCCTTTCCGATGACCCTTTGTCCCATAAAAAATCTTTAAATTTGCATTATTAAATATTGTGGGTCACTTATCGGGATAAAAACTATCTTCTCTCAAGTTCAAGCAATATCAAGTAGCACACATTTACAAAATTTCATTAAAATCGGTGGAGTGAGTTGTATTTGAACCAAATGATTATTAATATGGCATTATTCATAATGCCCAATATGAATAATGCCATAGGTGCCGTAGTTAAGAAGGTGATAAAAACTATTGAAATAATTAAATTGATCGGGATTTATGAATAAAGCCCGTTACTCATTGGACAGAGTAAAGAAAAGACAGATTAGATTAGGTTTTTTATGTTACATATTTAACACTTAAGCATAATGGAAATAAAGTTTTTCATCAAAGGTATCCTTGTAACGTAAAGGAAGGAATACCCCATTGGTGCTATTTGATACAGCAGTTTTTTTTCTTCCTGCATATTTTACACTTGTTAATTTAAAATTTGATACATTATTAACTTATTGTATTAGTAATAATGTAATAAACAATGAAGTTTAAATCAGTATTAATTACATATCCCGATTTGAGTTTTCATTATTCATATTGACCGGGCATTACAAATAGTGCCCTAATTAATCACTTGGTCCATTACACTATACAATATTTACAACAAAGCCATCTAAATATAGCGTATAATGCGCATTATAGTTTTAAGAAAGCTGCGTTCCTTCACCGAAATACTATGCATTTGGGCGAGGAAACATCCCCCTTATCTCTCATTACAAGAAGGATGGTTGTTTCCTGGCTCATTACTCAGGCCGTAAACAAGTTGCTCTTTGGATAAATGGCCGCAAAGGAATATACGCATTTTCCTTTGACTTCCTTTATATCGAGGGCTTGTACTATCAGTGATTAATTCTGCAGACAGATGGGTCCAGCGGCAGTTAGTTGTATTTGCGCACCGGGCTACACGGGTGACCTTTGCGAGTCACAAATTGCTGCTCCAGGTATGTAGGTATCAACCTCATATAATTCATTGCACATATAGTTTTTTTTAAGTAAAGCTTCTTAAAGTGCAACTTGAGGGATTCTAACTAAGATCTTTTTTTCGGACGGAAATAACACTCAGTAAATCCTTGGTACTTTTACACAGTTTCCGCCTTTTAAAAGCTGTAAATGACTATAGTATTCCGTGAGTATAACATATTATGTAATTTATACATAATATATAATATTATGGACAGTTTTAAGACAGACAGACAGAAAAATAAATTTAAGTTTACTGTATTATACATTATACTCAAATTAATTAATTAGCCCATTGTATATTACTAAATAGTTCAATACTAATTAATTATTATTTATTGATAAATACACCACCATTACATAGGAAATAAGTAATAAAAATAATTATACATAACAGAAATGTATATTAATATTTAACAAAATTAGTAAGATTTTCTTCAACCGCGACTGAAGGTTGGCGCACTCATTTTTTTAATAATAAAGTTTTATCAGCCAGCACTCCATTTGAAGGACAGTGACTCCTGTAGCTCATGAACACCTGTAACTAATTTCAAACATAGAAGGCCATAGATTTTATAAGCGGTAGAGCCATGCTGCAGCTATATTATCGTTGTAGCACGAATGGGTCGGCTCGACCGGGGAAGGACCACGCTCTCACAGGAAACCAGCGTAAAATAGCAGCTTAACGCTGCTATGTTTCGTATGGTAAGTGTAGAGAACCGGAGACCCTTTTTACTGGCAAAGAGGCATTCCATCTTAGTCCTCACGGGTGACAACGCATCTGTATCTTGAGTCTTTATTGAGGATAGATGTAGATGTCTATGTGTCACAGTAACCACTTACCATCAGGTGGACTGTGTGCTCGTTTGTCACCCGATCCCATAAAAAAAAGATGTATTCATTGCCTTTAAGACCTTAATAGTTCAATAGTTCAAAAGTTTATGTGTTTCAGAATGTGGAATCGAGGAATGTTTTGAGGGATGTAAAAAATCAACTGGCTGTGACTGCAGCCCCAAAGAAAGCGACTTTAGTAAGTATATTCATATTTTATTACTGTGGGAGCCTATAAAAAGCCTACTACTGAACATAGGGCCTCTCCCATAGATTGCCTCATAGGGGGAGGGGGGGATATTTGGCTTACTTTTCACACTGCCTCACTTTTTTCCTATGTCGCCTCTTATGACACCCATGGAAAAATATGGGTGTGATATTTTACTAATTTTATTATTATTTTATAGTGTCAGCTATCCGATCCGTGACGGTTCTTTTAGGTTTCATTATCTTATGATTGTTTTTTTGTAATTCTTTCCAGATAATAGGTAAATAAAAAAATCCCGTTAAAAAATAAATTAAAATTTAATACAAAAAGGGAAAATTACACGGCTGTACATGATAGAAACATACACATCATGCATGCTGCCGTTACATACTTAACTCCACCACAAAGATAGGCATGTTGTCAGTTTTTTAAATGTGCTGAATTCTAGGCAAATTCTAATAAAAACATGTATTTTAAATAACACTAACATTTTTATATTAAATAATTTGTTTTGTATTTTTGCGTTTCTCAATAACTTCAATTGTGTCTCCTAACGGAAGAATAAACATGGACAAGACCAAGATCATGTGTAACGTTCAAGTTGAGTCTTGGGAACACTATGCTCGAAGTTGTTGAATTATGACTTATGTTTACCTCGGGCAAATTGTCCGACTAGGTAAGCCCAACTTGGACCGAAAAAGAAGTAAATTTGATGTAGATCCTAAGTTATTTTTATTCTATGTATGTTTTGACCTTAATTTGTGGAAAACAAAAATATTTTTTTTATCAGGTTTCAAACTAAACTGCATTAAACATTTGTTTTAGCTTCAGCGCGTTTTGAAACTAGACTACAGGTTATAGATCAAGGAAGTAATAACATTACACAAGAAATTCGAGGACAGGTATAATGCCCCGATTAATATTGCATTTTTATGTTTTGTATGTTATTATGTTTTAAAGCTAATGGGCAATTTAAAATGCTGACTATTTATTTTTTGTAATATATCAATACAATTGCAGTATCCTGTATATTCTTATCTATGTATTTACCTATATACCATTTTATATTATCCATTCCTATTAATATTTTATGGTTTATAATATAAATAATGTTATTATTGTGGCTAAACTACATACATGCTTTCATTGATTTCTTGCAATCCTCTCCACCTAAAGGTTGTCTGGAAGAGATCGATATCAGCGATAGGATCGCACGTTGTGCACGTGTGCATATTTCTTTTCCTTTTTGTTTGTTAGTATTTATATCTATTTCTTAAAATAAAGTGATATCTATCTATCTATCTATCTAGCAACATTTGTATTGTCTTTTATTACTTACAAGGGATCTGCCCCGCCTTCGCATGGTTAGGACCTACTAATGTAGCGTTATTTAGATTTAAGGTAGTCAAAGACCATTTATTTTATCAAGATCATTTTTATAGGAGAGGGGGCAAACGAGCATGCGGCTCACCTGATGGTAAGGGACTGCCGCCGCCCATGAACAACAGCAACACCAAGGGAACCAGGGGAATTGAAGATGCGTTGCCGGCCTTTTAAAAAGGAGTAGGCTCTTTTCTTGAAGTTCCCTAAGTCGTATCGGTCGGTAAAATCGCATTTATTCATCAATGGGATATAGCCTAAATCCCTACTGGTATTGTCCCCTATGTGTTTGTAATGTTTCATCACAATTTCCTCATAGTGGGGATGTTACTTGCCATAGTCGTCATGCTTGGCAGGGGAGTTGACGTAGTTATGTTGAGTTTTTATGAGTTGCTGCTGTTTATGTCCTATTTCATTTACCTTTGCCACCTCTTATTTTACTTATGGTATGATATTATGGGATACTGGATTCTTCTATACGGTGATTATGTAATTATTATATAATAGGTAGGCATTATAAATTAATAGTGTTCTATTTTAAGTTTTGTATTGAATCATTAATTGTGAGATTACAATTTAATTATTTTTCAGATATTTAATTACCTGAGAGCATCTAATATTACAGTACAAGATGAAATTGAAATTTTAAATATAAGGTAAGCGTGAATAATATTATATATTTAATATTTAAAAATATGTATATCACTTAAGCTCAATATTTAAGACTGCGTAAAATAGTTTAAATAAAAAAGAAACATTGTATACGCTATGTCACTTCCACAACTAAGACAAATCTAACTATACCACATATAATAATACTATGTTTAAAAACATTAAGCCGTGTATGTTACAGAGCGCGCAAAAAAATATACAAATATTCATACATACACTCAGAAAAACATAACCCTCCTTCTGGGGCAGTCGGGTAAATATTGTTTACTGTGATTGACATTTTTCATTTCATACTATAAGTCCAAATAAAAATAAATTTTAAAGTTATGATATTATAATATTATTTATTGTATAGCATATTTTATCTGTTAAAATATTAAATCGATATATTTCCCGTCGAACACAGAAAATAATGGCTAGAAAGAATTTGATTTGAGTGGACTATAATTAATATCCAGCAAGAAGTGTTATTTCACGCGTCTATTAAGCACGTGTTCAAAAGCGAAGAAAAACTCCCGTAAAATCTATGCAAAGTCTAGCCAACCCACTGAAGTTGTCCATCATAGACACTACACATTCATTTAATATCTAAAATGACAGAGTAATGCAAAGAAGTACAAAGCTTGATATTTTAAATACAACACACACACACACACATACACACACACACACACACACACACACACACACACACACACACACACACACACACACACACACACACACACACACACATACACACACATTTTGATTTTTTGTATTTTGTGAGAGCGTTGTACTTTTCTGGTCTAGTCAAAACATTCGTGCTAACTAAACAATAATATAGGATATTTAAATTTCATGGAAAAATCCTCACATATATTCAACTTCATTTGCATCTTCTAACAATTGCATTATATTTGTTTTTATTACTTTATTTCGGCTCAGCTCTCCGGAAATAAATGGCGCCCGAACAGTTTGGTTGCGAGTGTGGAGCACGCGTCGAGAAGCAGGCGCATTGAGAGCGGCTTTTTCTCGTCTTGCTGCAACGCGGACCCGCACTGACTACCTAAGATTCTTACCAGCTACTCTACATTTTGATATGCAGCCGACCCTAAGTTTACATGTGAATACTTTTATTACTTTTAAGTCCAAGCATACTTACTTATTTTTAATTAAAAACAATAGAAGACTTAATATTTTCATTAAATCATTCATTACAAATCGTTTAAAGTCCTCTGTAGAACATGGGCCTCTCGCATACATTGCTTCACAGTGAGAGTATTGTCCATAGTTGCCACGTTTAACAGGCGGTTTGATAACCGCAGTTTTTTTACTATTGCTCTTATCGGAAAGATGCTGCTGCCCATCTCCTGTTTCAGTTTCCATCTGTCGCCTCTTACGGAACTGATATTATAAGGTACTGAATTATCTTACACCGCCACTTCACGGCATGCTGCACTAAGTACATGGAGTATTTTCAGGATTATATTTTTTATTATTTTTGTAGCCTTTAATAGTCAATCAACGACCAGAGGTGTGGGAGGGATCTGAGTTTATTCTCAGCTGTATGGCATATGGATCACCGGATATTGAATTTACTTGGTATAAAGATGGAGTTAAAATCAACTTTAATGGCACTACAAGGTATGGAAATATAGCTATTAAATTTCTAATTTATGTAAAAAAATAAGGAATTGTTCGGAATAATTCCAGCCGCTCAATTTCACCATCGCACATCGCAACAAAACTTGCGATACCATGATTGGCGGTCCACCACTATGCGATTCAGAAGATGTTTTCTTCCTCGCACAACTTCCTTATGGAATCGATTACCAACAGCGATTTTTCCGGACCGATACGACTTAGGAATCTTCAAGAAAAGAGCCTACTCCTTTTTAAAAGGCCGGCAACGCATCTGCAATTCCCCTTGTGTTGCAGTTGTTCATGGGCGGCGGTAATCACTTACCATCAGGTGAGCCGCATGCTCTTTTGCCCCCTCTCCTATATAAAAAAAGCTTGTTAACTATGTTAATAATCTTCGAGATCGAATCGAGAAATTCGCAGTAGCAGTAAGTTGGAGTATTTCACTCCAGTGACTCAGAAAGCACATTAAACCGTTGGTCCAGTGCCTGATCTCACTCCACTTGTGTGGGATTGCTGTCCCATCGGATTATGAGATTGAGCAAATGGAGAGTGTACCTGTGTTTGCGTGCACACTCGTGCTCTATAGTTCAGTTCTGTACAGATGGCTAGTCCCAGTTGAAACTGGCCATGACCAAAATTCGGTCTGGAGGACACTTTTCAATGATTTTTAAAATCGTTTAATATCCTTATCTTATTGGTTCTTTATCAGCTCGTAGCCGATATATTATGATATGAAGGTTTTGCCTAAATCTCGATTAGCAGATGTATTACCAGAAATCTGGCACTTTTAACGCTGCTCCATGTCGCCAGGTTAAACACACCTTTATCTGCCATATTTTATAACAAGAAATGGTTAATTTAGGCAAAAACGTTTTTTCGGCCGCCAGCGATAGTGGAACAGCGGATGTGTGCGAAAGCGTTCCAGTGGCACTACCTATATGCAGCGAAATTTGACGGCTCCGTGGCGCAGTGGTTTAGCAATGAGTTGCAGCGCTAAATGCCGCGGGTTTGAATCCCGCACGTAACAAGTATTTGAATGTCCTGCAAATAATTGTTACTGGTTTGCATGTTTGTCCTTGTAAACTTTATGTATGTAAACTGCCCCCAAGATACAGGAGATAATCCTAGTATGAAGGTTACGTTTTAAAAAAAAAAGAAGAAGAAGAACACCACTAGGCTTTAGGTCGGTCGGTGCGAGTTATACATAATCCGTCCTTACCTTGCGAGGCAATATGCGTAGGTATTTCCCCATTTAAAAAATGATAAAGACGTTTTACTTAGTTAAGAGCATAGAAGATTGTGAACAGCTTACTATAAATCTAATGATAACTTGTAGTGTTATGCTACTTACATATATCATTTTACATTATTTTAAATTCATTTTTCCATTCTGTTTCGATTTTCTACATTCACCTCAAAACTGGATATTTTACATCACCTTTATTTCCATAGGATCCTGTAACGATTTTAAACCATAAGAACACAATAACAAATCATTTCTACTTCGTATTTTCACATTATCAGCACTTTTGAATTGGTGTCAATGGAGTCTACCTTTTTTCGATCTTTTAGCTAGTTTTCCGTAATTCTACAATCTCGGGCTTTGTGTGGGCAGCTGCGCTACCTTTTTTCCTATATCAATAATATCTCATTTTCCACTTAAATCTTACCGTTTTCTTATTATAAACCTAAAACCAAAATTTGACATGTTTTGTCTTTGTTATTTATATCGTTTCCATGGTAATTATATTCAAATTTGCTACCGATCTGTTGTTCCTATTTCGATAATTCCACATAAAAACTTTTTTCTCTTGACCATTTACAAAAAATTTGCGTTTAATTTAAATAATTTTTCCGTTCTCTCTAGAAAGGTATAAAAGCCGAACAATCGGTGAAGAAAGGCAGTCTCGCTTCAGTTCGCGAATTGGAAGTATCTCCTAAAGGCCTTATCCCGGTGCCGCACTGCCCCAGGATCCTGCAAGCCTCCACCTACACGTGAAGTCTTCGGCGAAGCCTTCTTCAAACGCGGAGCCGCACCACTCCGGATTCCTACAAGCCTCCATCTACCTCGGAAGTCGCTTCGAGACTACTACAAGCGCGGGGGCCACACTACTCCGGGCGCTACGACTACTTACTCCAGGCGCCGAGTGCACCTACCGCCGGCGCTACCTTTGGGCGCTGCAACTGCTGGCTCTAAGCGTTGAGCGCACCTACTCCAGGCGCTACGTGCGCCGGCTCCGGACGCTGCGTGTGCTGGCTCCAGGCGTTGCGTGCCGTCGCTACTAAGAAACTTACCTCTACAAGCGCAACCGGCGTGTGCTGGCTTCAGGCGCTGCGTGTCGTCGCTGCTAAGAAACCTACCTCTACAATCGCAACGTGTGTCGCTTCGACTTTTAGGCCCCACTACATCTCTATATTCCCCTATTCTCCTACCTTTATATTTTTTTTTGTAATCTAATTGTACTCTCACTTCATTCATCATCATCCTCATTTCATTTTTTTTATAAAATTGTAAATATCTTAAATTTTGAATATATTTCTGTTTTTGTTGTATTTTTGTTGTTTTGTTGTACTTAGGTGAGGTTCTATTTTTTTTTAAAATGGCGTTTCTGCGTAGACAGCAGGAAGCTTAACTCAGTTACACGTCGTGATGCTTATAGTCTGCCACTAATAAGCGAAATTTTGGACAACTTGAGGAATGCCAAATACTTATCGAGCATCGACATTGCGAAAGCATTTTGGGAGATTCCCTTGAATCCTGCCGATAAGGATAAAACTGCATTTTATGTACCTGGAAGAGGTATGTTTAGATTTAAGGTAATGCCTTTTGGTCTTTCTAACTCACCTGCAACTCTACAAAGATTAATGGATATGCTTTTTACCCCTGAATTTGAGAACAAGGTATTTTGCTATCTGGACGACATCGTTATCATTAGCGAGACTTTTGATGAACACATATCACTCCTCATGAAAGTTCATGAAAAACTTTCATATGCTAATCTGACTATTAACTTTGAGAAGAGTCAATTCTTCAGGAAAGAACTGAAATACCTTGGTTTTCTAGTGGACCAGTACGGTCTACGTGCTGATCCAGATAAAATAAAAGCTATATTAGAATATCCTGTACCTACTTGTAGAAAAGAAGTTCGAATATTCATAGGCACCTGCAGCTGGTTCAGAAGATTCATTCCAAACTTCAGCACTATTGCCTCTCCACTCAATCAACTAACCTGTTCCGGGAAGAACGCTCCTAAATTTCTTTGGAATTCACAAGCTGCAGCTGCTTTCCAGAAACTTAAAGAAGCTTTGGTAACTGCTCCTGTCCTTGCTTGTCCTAACTTCGAACTACCCATCTCTGTACATTGTGATGCATCAAACTATGGCATAGGAGCAATGCTTACTCAACATCAAGATGACAAAGAAGTCGTGATTGCTTACATGAGTAAAGCACTAAACAAAAATCAACAGAACTACTCAACTACTGAAAGAGAAACATTGGCTGTAATAACTGCGTTAGAACATTGGCGATGTTACCTAGACAATGGTAAAGAATTTACAATATATACTGACCATGCTGCACTTAAATGGTTTCAGAACTTATCGAATACATCAGGAAGACTTGCTCGCTGGACTTTACGCTTATCTTGCTTTAACTTTGTCCTGAAACATAAAAAAGGAAAGGATAACGTTGTTCCAGATTTATTATCAAGACATAAGAATCAAGAACGTCCTGATACACGAGAAATTTCACCTCAAGGCGTACATCCTATTACTATTGAAGAACCACCCGATCGTTAACTTGAGCACTACAACAAGATTTTTCTCGGATGCTCCAACAACCCAGACTCACATCCCAACTATACTATCAGGGATAACAAACTTTACCGCTGCATCCATTCTCCCGATCGTCTAAACGATGACTTTATTTGGAAAGAAGTTCCACTACCTCAAGATAGACATGCAATTATTGAAGTTAACCATGGTTCCCCTTCAGAACTCCATCTTGGTATCTTCAAGACATTCAAGAAAATATCTTTAAAATACTATTGGCCTGGTATGTTTAAGGATATTGCCAATTTAATCTCAACTTGTGAAACCTGCTTAACCTACAAACACCCTAATCATTCTCCCTATGGTCTTATGGGTAAACCTAAACTTTGCTCCAGACCTTTTCAAACTATATCCTTAGATCTTATGGGTCCATTGCCTATGACTCGAAGACGAAATCAGTATATTCTAGTAATTAACTGCAATTTTACTAAATTTACTATGATTTTTCCCCTTAAACGTGCTACTTCAGCTAATATTATTAATGTTTTGGAAAATTCAGTTTTTCTAGTTCATGGCATTCCCCAAACTATTATAATGGACAATGCTGTTCAATTTCAGTCGCGAGAATTCCACTCATTCTTAAATTCTTATAACGTTCCTTTTATTTTTCACACAGCTTTATATTGTCCTCAGGTTAATCCTACGGAGAAGTTTAATAGTACAATTATTACAGCTCTAGCATCTCTAGTAGGAGACGATCATAGATCATGGGACAACCATCTTACTAAGATTCAGTACGCAATGAACAGCGCTACAAATGTAGCTACTGGCTTTACTCCAAACTTTTTAGTCTTTGGTAGGGAAACAATACCTTGTGGTTCCTTCTATACTCCAACTCAGAACCTCGAGGAATTAATATTTATGCCTCGTGATATTTACGCGTCTAATGCTGGTCTCCTCTCATCTATCTTTCACAAAGTTCAAACTAAACTTCACATAGCGCACGCTAAAAATAGCGCTCGCTATGATCTTTTCCGGGCTTTTAAAGAATTTAATGTGGGAGATACTGTTTGGCGTAAAAATCATGTTTTAAGCAATGCCGGCGCATACTTTAATGCTAAACTTGCCCCTAAGTTCATCAAGTGCAAAGTGATAGCTAAACTGTCACCACTAGTCTATGTACTTGAAGACCCTAATGGAGTTAGAGGCAAGTGGCACATCAAAGATGTAAAATCATAAATTTTCTTAACTTTTATTAACTATTAATTTGTATATATGTATAAATATCACCATCATTCTCACCTTATTATTTTTACTTCTTTTAATTTGTTTGTTTGATGATCCAGTGTTCTTCAACACATCTTGCTTTAGGACCTCGAACTTTCGTTGGTTAATCGTCACTTTTTATTTTTATTTCAGACACATCTCGTTGGTGATGTTGCTGTTCTCTGGCTTTGAGCCCTACCGCTCTGGCCGTTCTTAATCTTTACTTAAGTCGTAGCGACTAAAGCTTACTTGAGGTATTTCTTTATCTTTATCTTCACTTGGGAGCGGCTGATTACTCCCTTAATAATTTTTTTTTATCTTCACGCAGGAGCGGATGACAACTCCTTAAATAAGCCTGAATGTACTTTCGAAAACACACTTTTAAGAGTGGTGTTTCTTCGACTAATTTATTTTTTTTTCCACGCAGGAGCGGATGACTACTCCTTAAATAAGCCTTAATGTCGTTTTGAAAACACACTTTTAGAGTGGTAGTCATTGAATGTGAACTCCACCCTTACCTGAAAGGCAGATGATGAATGTAAGAGATGGTATATCTGATTTTGCCTGGTGATGTCTGTTTCTGCAAAGCTGTGTTTTTATGGTTTATTTTAGAATGTATATATCAAAATTTTTGCTGAGTCAAAAATTTTCCAGGGTCGGGGGGAAAATGTAGTGTTATGCTACTTACATATATCATTTTACATTATTTTAAATTCATTTTTCCATTCTGTTTCGATTTTCTACATTCACCTCAAAACTGGATATTTTACATCACCTTTATTTCCATAGGATCCTGTTACGATTTTAAACCATAAGAACACAATAACAAATCATTTCTACTTCGTATTTTCACATTATCAGCACTTTTAAATTGGTGTCAATGGAGTCTACCTTTTTTCGATCTTTTAGCTAGTTTTCCGTAATTCTACAATCTCGGGCTTTGTGTGGGCAGCTGCGCTACCTTTTTTCCTATATCAATAATATCTCATTTTCCACTTAAATCTTACCGTTTTCTTATTATAAACCTAAAACCAAAATTTGACATGTTTTGTCTTTGTTATTTATATCGTTTCCATGGTAATTATATTCAAATTTGCTACCGATCTGTTGTTCCTATTTCGATAATTCCACATAAATACTTTTTTCTCTTGACCATTTACAAAAAATTTGCGTTTAATTTAAATAATTTTTCCGTTCTCTCTAGAAAGGTATAAAAGCCGAACAATCGGTGAAGAAAGGCAGTCTCGCTTCAGTTCGCGAATTGGAAGTATCTCCTAAAGGCCTTATCCCGGGGCCGCACTGCCCCGGGATCCTGCAAGCCTCCACCTACACGTGAAGTCTTCGGCGAAGCCTTCTTCAAACGCGGAGCCGCACCACTCCGGATTCCTACAAGCCTCCATCTACCTCGGAAGTCGCTTCGAGACTACTACAAGCGCGGGGGCCACACTACTCCGGGCGCTACGACTACTTACTCCAGGCGCCGAGTGCACCTACCGCCGGCGCTACCTTTGGGCGCTGCAACTGCTGGCTCTAAGCGTTGAGCGCACCTACTCCAGGCGCTACGTGCGCCGGCTCCGGACGCTGCGTGTGCTGGCTCCAGGCGTTGCGTGCCGTCGCTACTAAGAAACTTACCTCTACAAGCGCAACCGGCGTGTGCTGGCTTCAGGCGCTGCGTGTCGTCGCTGCTAAGAAACCTACCTCTACAATCGCAACGTGTGTTGCTTCGACTTTTAGGCCCCACTACATCTCTATATTCCCCTATTCTCCTACCTTTATATTTTTTTTTGTAATCTAATTGTACTCTCACTTCATTCATCATCATTCTCATTTCATTTTTTTTATAAAATTGTAAATATCTTTAAATTTTGAATATATTTCTGTTTTTGTTGTATTTTTGTTGTTTTGTTGTTCTTAGGTTAGATTCTTTTTGATATATTATTGTCGCTTCACGACAAACTTCTCTGATTTCTTTCTATTATTGACTGCTTTAGGATTACTGGGACCCAATTAAAATAATTAGAATTAAATAAAGCCTTAATATTCAGAAATAACAAAATATTTTTAGGGATATTTGGACCCGCACAGTAGCTGAAGATGCTTTGGGGAGGCGTATGTCAGTGTTAGGAATATCTGAAGCTAGAACACTGGATAGTGGAAGATGGTCTTGTTCTGCTGATGACGCAGGCAGACGACGCTGCAGAGCATTAAGGCTTGTAGTACTTCGTCCACCTGACATTCGTCTCGTGCCCTCTGCGTTGACCGTTAATAAGGTAATTTTTATCTTTTTTATTTCTTATGCAGTCAACGTACACTGCATATTTTTACCTTGTATTATTATGTATCCTCCGGATATATGTTTGTTAATATTTTACTACTTAAGATATTTATTTTGCAATTCTTGATATACCTACCTTGCTTTGCCGTAATAAAATTATTAATATCTACAATTTTTTATCTTGCGTTATCTTCAGTTGTATTTGTCTAAATGATAAAATCTTCCACTGGTGGTCTGATTAAAACAAATGGATATTTACCCTTTGTTTAAACTCTTTAATTAGAGAGAATTAACGCTGCAGTTCTTTGAAATAATAAAAGTAAATGTAGTTATTATGACTCGAGTGGTGAAAAAAGGCTTGAAATCACACTAGATGCTATCAGTTTTACAATTCCCTAGACACTAAATCTAAATTTTGTACTGTAATAAAAATAACTTTGCACATATTCTAATAAATGCAGAAAATACAAATCTTTTAATCTTTCGCTTATTAAGTTACTTAATCCTTCCTCTTCCTTTGCGATAAACTATGTCCAGCGGTGAATTTTTATAGTCTAAGTTTATAGTCTAGATAATAGTGATGATGATGATGATATTTCGTTATATTATTGACATTCTTATTTGAAAATAAACATAATGTACCTTCTATATTTTAACAGGGTGATAACGTAAGCATCACGTGTTTAGCTGGAGCTAGTCGAGTTCACGGAGCACTTGGTTTTAGTTGGGCGAGGGAAAGAACCCTTTTGAAACTTGCTCCTGGACAAGAAGTTTGGGAAGATCTTTACCCCGTCGGTAGTGTGCTTAAACTATATAACGTTCAAGTAAGTTATAATTAAATTTATTCAACTTGTTCATTTGCTATATTACATTGAGGTCTCTTAATATATTGAAATTTATTGAAATAGGCATGGCTCATTTCTGTCTAGGATTCTATCTTGGTGTCTCTGATTTACTTCTGCTGCTAAGCAATAATTCAACAACTATTGTAATTCAGTTAGAAGCGTTTTACCACGCTTCAAACTGAATCACAATAGTTGTTGCCAGCCAGTTTAATTACTACGAGGTATTCCATTTTAGTCCTCATGGTTAAATGTTGACAATATGCCCCTAGTCTACTTTATTTGTCGCCAGACATTATCCTTTATTTTTTTTTAAAAGGTTGACGAAAAAAATCTAGATATAAGTATTTCATACTTAGCACAAAATAATTAATATCCCATCTCTCATACCGAGAGAGTTTCACGGAAGTCGACTAAAGGATTTAAAAAAAAACTGGGTACCTTGACCATTGAATAAGGTAGAATAACTTAATGAAAACAAATTATTTTTATTAATATTTACAATTAATTAAATTTATAATTCAGTATAAATAAATTTAATGAAAATAAAATAGACCTAATGTATTATTTATATTATAACATGACTGATTGCCAATCCGTTGTTCGTCAAGCGTGGTATTAAAAACAAATTAAGGGTACCAGGCAAATAACAGGGAAAGTCCTCCTGAATAAATTATGAGAAAAAGGCAATTTAAACTTTAGAAGTTATAATATTTTTATTGAGATCAAAGAATGCAATAACTTTTACTTGTAACTAACTATGACTAATTTTTAAACATATGTTAAAATCAGACCTTTCGGTAATTGACATAAACTAAAATAAGAAATAAAAAATAATTGTAACCTTGACGAGTTAGAGTGCCCCTAGTTCATGAGGAGAAAGGTAAAACTCTTTCATGACATCTTCAGTTTTACCGGTCTTCTTTCTTTTCTTTGTCAATCTGTTAGTAAAACTGTTATCGTTTTCATCAGTCTGAGCCAGAAAGCATCAATTACTTATTTTTAATCAAAATTGCAACGCAAAACAAACAATGTCAATAAAGCAAACAAATCCAAAGAACTCTTAACCTCATAATCACAAGTTCACAACCGTCAATTTTTGAACAATCCTCGTTCTTTATCGGTATGTATGTCATGAACATTCCTAGTGTTATTTGGATTGCGCATTGATAAAATCATATTTTAGCAACATCTGTTGAGTATTTGTAAAAACTAGTGGTTGGGAATGCAATCACCGTAGATATGTTACCAGCACAAAACAAAGAAAAATAAAATTGTGACATTCCCTGTTCGTTGCCTGTATCTCTCAAATATCTTCTATTAATAAGACTCGGGTTGTTAATTTGATTTACGTGCAGACGATAACGAATATTCATTATCAAAGGTAAAAATTTATACAGAAATCTGGTGAATTCCGTTGCCAAGTTTCTTCGGTGGCGGGAACAAATGCAAAAGGAGTTACCTTGTGGGCTCTGGGAAGGCACGATGAAGCATGTGAAGCTGAAGCATCCCATGGACTTCGTTGGCCGAAAACTGCACCTGGTGCTCACGCTTCTGCATCTTGTCCACCTGGTCAAACTGGAGTAACTACACGGTACTTTCGATATTATAAAATAAGCTATGCCATAACCTTTACTTATAGCACTACCAGTGCCAATGAAACTCAAACGATATTTATATTAAAATCAACATGAAAATCTTTTAAAAGCCTTTTTCATGGAATTAATTAATCATTTTAGCTTTTGCGAACCAAAAACTACGCAACATGGAGTGAAATGGTTGCTACCAGATTTTTCGGGCTGCATTGCTGATTCTTTGCGAGATATTTATGATCAGGTATATTTTTTCGTTCGTTTTTATAATTTAACGATCTAATAAAGACTGAGGGTCTTATAAAGACTGAAATGCAGATACGTTTTTACTGTTCATAAAAATGGATTACTTAGTTTAAAATATAAACTCAGGTTTTTCATGCTCTATATCATTGCAGTTTACGCGTATATCTTATGGTTACTCATGTTCAAACGTAGCGGACATTGCGCATCAGTATGGTGCTATACTACAATCTCTCCCCACCCTTCCTGGAGCAGGAGCAATTCCACTCCTTCATTCTCGCAGTATGGTTGAGTACCTTCTATCAGAAGCTGGGAATTCAAGAGATCGATTTGAAAGTGTTGAATATTTGCTAAGAATTTATGATACGCTTTTGAGGCATCCGGATTCATTTCTCGACGAAGAGGTAAGCGCCTCATTAACTATAAATATGTATATTGGTAAAAAGTTATAATCGTTGGGTTATAAAAACTAAAGGTAATACTAATTTAAAAATGTTTCTTCCGACTGGATTTGAAAAAAAAAATACGTTTTACAAACACCATTTATTTTTACTTCGAATAAATAAATATATTTCATTAAGTTGTAAGTGTAGTAGTAGTAATTGTACATAGACATAACATTAAAAATAAACTATTGGTAAAATTTTTTTGAACTTGCATAAATTAAATGTTATCATATAACCAGATTTCAACTAAATTTAATGATATATATCGTTTTAAAGTTTGCATAGAATTCGTTCACGCATGCAATGTTCTTATGTAACTCAATGATTACAAAAATAAAGGATTTATATTAACAAATTTAAACTTGAAAATCACGGGTTTTGTAAGTCTTTATAAGTTTATGCTTTAATAAACGAGTTCAAGTTCGACAATGTAGTCTGACTTGTGATTAAAGTTTCACTGCGATGATTCATTATTCTTGCCGAAGTTCATTTTGTGTCATCTTTTATAGTCCTCATAAAGCAGTTAAAATGAGTGTTGATGTCGATAGTTCGTGCTGGAAATATAACCTGTTTCAATAATATTAACAAATTAATTATAATTGTATTATAAATAAAATATGTTTTAATTAAATTGGTTGTTTTAGAAAATATACGAGCTCCAAAATATAATTGTCGAAACGGTTGGTATGAAAGAATACGTGAATATTTTAAACCGAGAACTTACAGTTAAAACTAAACCGGTAAGAGAAGACAATGCTGCACATTTTAACTTTTCACCCGTTTTCGATACTTACGATTGGATACTTACATCTGCTGGCGTGGAATTAATAGGAAGGATTGGAAATGCTTCAGTCATTGTGATTCAATATCGCGACTTAACGTCAAGGCTACCTTCTTTGAGAAAATCAATTGAGCATAAGTAAGTTACTACTATTACAAAACAAATTTAATCAAACTATTTAAAATAATCATCACTTAGGTTGTGTGCCATGTTTTAAATAAACAGTTTAGCCTAAGGTATAAAAACCAAAATTATTTTACTTACTGCAAACTTTACAAATCATGTCCGTGAAAAGCGATTTGATTTTATTATTGAAAACAAAGTATTGTTTAAATACAAATAAATGTATCAACAAACTATATTTACTCTTGCTTAAGAATCAAAATGCAGATACATTTTTACCCCTACGGGGACTCTTTTTTAGTAAAAAGGGTCTCCGGTTCTAATCGCGTAACTACTACTAACTAATTCAATCACATCGCTTTTACGCTCATATTCTATGCGTGCATGGTCCTTTCCCAGTAGATCTAACCTGTAACTGCAGCAGCTATAACGCAGCTGCAGCTGCAGTGTGTCTCTATCATGCAAAATTACATTTTAAATCATTAATAACAATGTGACTTTTAAATTTTACATTTTTAAATCTTTTTATCTATCATACAAAATAAATTTGTTAGTATTAAATCCATTTAACCTGTAGCAGCATTACAATGTAACCGATTTTCCAGCCGTCCAATTTCCCCAAACGGACGTGAGCTGGAATATATGCCGACGTCACAACAAATTCAAGTGTCAGCTCACGCCAATGGTGTAGATTTATCACTGCAACATTCAGTGACTCTGCTTTTTACACATTCTAAGAACTATAGCGCTGTAGGTAAGAATAAATTATCAGATATAATATATGTGTAAAACAATATTATAGTTTAACAGAAAATAAATTTGATTTCTATTGATTATTTCTTTCGTTGAATCTAATGATACTTGAGCTATGGTAGGCTGTTATGCATATTGAGAAAATTGTTGAAGAATTCATGCAAGCATTTCAAGCCTATCAAAAGTCCATTGCTTAACATAGGCCTCTCTCATAGATTGGGTCATAGGAGAGATTTACCATAGTTGCTGTGCTTGGCAGGCGGGTTGGCAATACAGAAATTTATTATTTTGGATCGTAGTCAGGAATATTCTCCTGTCCATCTCTGTTTTATTTCCTTCTGTCGCCTTTTATGACACTGTACTACTACTAATAATAAAGAGTAATGCATTATCTTACTCCGCCACAACAATAAAAAAACATGACAACACACAGTAATGACGATGCATAATAATCTTAATTATTGGATTTTACTGTTTTAAATCTTTTCATTAATAAAAATAAATATAAGAGATCTTTTAGTAGTAAATATTTCAACTTGCCTAACATAACACATTACTTATGAATGTATTTTGCAGCATCTAGATTGGCTTGTGGTTTACGTACAACTTTAGAACCTCGTATATGGAACATAAATGCATGCGACGTGCGTATTCCAGAATCAACTTACGTTTCTTGTCGATGTCGTGGACTCGGCACTTATGCACTATTTAGAATAACGCGACCTAAGCTCGTAAGTATTATACATGTAGCAAGTAATTAGTATCTTACAAGAATCCTTATATCCTATCATAAAAACTATTTGTAGATAGAATGTTTGGTCAGTAAAAATAAAATGAGGTACTGTTTTCGGAAACTAATACTAGAAGTAAAACTTTTTGAGCATAAACCCAACCGATTTTATCTCGCAATTGCCGAAAGTTTGTTCTCGTCCCACCCTTACATTGTACGTGACGCGTCATTTGATACGTGTAAGCTTATGTAAAAGAAGACTAAAAGATACACTTGAATATTTTTAACGAGCTATATTTAATTTGAATTTTATTATATTAATTTGAATATTATTATTAAAACTATAATAATAAAAAAATAAACTAAAACTAGAAACTTAATTATCATATAGTCCTACTCCCCGCGGTATCGTGCCCAGAGCGCTCGCTGCGTTTCCCCGCTAAATGGCTATGCTTAGCCTTTGAGCGAGAAAAGAACCAGCCCTCTTGTCACCAGCAGCAACGACCAGCCGCGGATGGAGTTCCTTTAAGAACTTCACCGCACGTTGACCCCACGGACCGATAGTCTCTACAGCAAATGGCACAAATATGTAGTCATCTCTCAGAGACTCATATTTGCGCCACTTAGTTCAACTGCCTCTGATGCCGCTCCGGCTCTAAACGAGGTACCCCTGAGAAGAGAATAAAATTAAATAAAATTAAATTAAATTGAATTAAGTTAAATTAAATTGAATTAAATACTATCAATTCCCAGTTTAACCAAAAACAAGATGACACCAATTGTTCGTGTTGTGCCGGCGTAAGGGAATAAGCTACACCATATCACCCTCTGAGTGTTGTTAGAGGCGACGGAGGAAAACTGATTCCTGATAACAACTCAAGACAAAATATTTAAAACAAAATGCCAATTCGCCTTTTGGCAACTATAATAAATACCCCCCTAAATATAATAAATACTCCCTTTTGTGGGATGTGTTAGCGGTTAACTTTTGGTGGGTTGTAATGATGATGATGATGAAATTACTCAAAACGAAAAGCAAATGAAAAATGTAACAGAACTTTCTCCAGCAAAGTCCTTTATTAGAAACTATTATTTCAGCAAAATAGCGTATTCGGACACTAATACTACAGAGAGTGCTTCACATGACGTCACGTCACCCGTTCGATGGGGGCCCTACATCATCATCATCATTACAGCCCTTCACAAGTCCACTGCTGAACATAGGCCTCCCCCAAAGAATGCCACAAAGCACGGTCCTGAGCCACCTGCATCCATCGACTTCCTGCATGTCTTACCAGGTCGTCACTCCATCTCGTGGGGGGACGCCCTACACTTCGCCTACCGGTACGAGGCTGCCACTCGAGAACCTTTCTTCCCCATCGGTTGTAGGTTCTTCGAGCTATATGGCCGGCCCACTGCCACTTCAGCTTACTAATCCGTTGGGCTATGTCGGTTACTCTGGTTCTACTGCGGATATCCTCATTCCTAAGTTTATCACGCAGAGAAACTCCGAGCATAGCCCTCTCCATAGCTCGCTGAGCGACCTTGAGCTTCCTCATACGGCCAGCAGTGAAGGACCACGTCTCAGTTCCATAAGTCATCACTGGCAACACGCACTGGTTGTACAATTTCGTTTTCAGGTTTTGAGGTATGTCTGACGAGAAGATGTGTCGTAGCTTCCCGAACGCTGCCCAGCCGAGTTGAATCCGTCGATTGACCTCTCGATCGAAGTTGGACTTACCTAGTCGGACTATTTGTCCCAGGTAAACATACTCGTCAACAACTTCGAGCTTAGTGCTCCCAACAACTACCGGCATAGGTGTGACATGGACATTGAACATGATCTTTGTTTTGTCCATGGTCATCTTAAGACCTATCCGTTGGGAAACACTATCCAGGTCATTGAGCATAGTGCTTAGGTCCTCCAGCGATTCTGCCATAAGGACTATATCGTCGGCAAATCGAAGGTGAGTGATGTACTCGCCATTGATGTTGATACTGTATCCTTTCCAGTCCAGAAGCTTGAAAACGTCTTCCAATGCAGCGGTGAAGAGTTTCGGGGATATGACGTCACCCTGTCTTACACCTCTCAGCAATTGGATAGGTTTCGTACTCTGGTTCTGTACTCGGATAGCCATCGTAGCCCTACTGTACAAGCACTTCAACACCTCGATATACCGACAGTCAACTTGGCACCGCTGAAGGGACTGCAGCACCGCCCAAATTTCGACGGAATCAAAGGCTTTCTCATAGTCCACATACGCCAGACATAGTGGCAAATTGTACTCTTCGGACTTCTGTACAATTTGCCGAAGGGTATGTATGTGGTCTATGGTGCTAAAGCCCTTTCGGAAACCGGCTTGTTCGGGAGGTTGGAAGTCGTCAAGTCTGCGCGCGAGACGATTCGTAATGACTCTCGAAAACAGCACGTAGACGCGGCTCAGCAGGGAAATCGGTCTGTAGTTCTTCAAGAGAGCGTTGTCACCTTTCATGAAGAACAAGACCACCGCACTTCTGCTCCACGCCTCCGGTGAAATGCCACCATGGAGGACGGAATTAAAGAGCTTCTGAAGGACTTCAAGTACCAGTCTTCCACCCGCTTTCAGAAGCTCCGCTGTAATTCCATCCTCGCCTGGGGCCTTACCGTTTTTAAGGTGCTGGAGAGCCATTCTAATCTCGCTCAGACTGACGTCCGGGATATCTTCGGAATAGTGTCGGATGAGACTCGCTCTTTGATCGTTACTCACACTTGCGTGTGGCTCCAACGATGACGTGTACAGCTGCCCATAGAACCTCTACATCTCACTCAAAATCTCAGGTGTCCCGGAAACGATGCTGCTACATTCTGTCTTCAGCTTTGACAGGTGGCTCTTTCTGGCAGACAGATCTCTGGCAAAGACTTTGGAGCCTTGGTTCCGGTCGATCGCTTCTTCAATACGAGCTGTATTGAAATTGCGTAAGTCCCGCCGCATGCATTTGGAGATCTGTCTGTTCAGATGCCTGTATGCTGTCAAGTCTGTTGAAGAATGTAGCTTCATCTCCTGTCTAACAGCCATGAGATTAAGAGTGTGATCGGAGAGTTTTTGTGTTCTTCTGCGGCGGGTCTTGCAGAACTTAGCTCCGATCGCATGGACAGTTTCCACGAGCTTGTCATTCATATCGTCCACTTCAATGCAGTCTTCTAGGCACTGAAAACGGTTTTGTAACTCGAGCTGAAAGGTTTCGGGACTTTGGAACAGAGCACGAGGGGGACGGAGCGTTGACTTCATTAGACGAGACCTCTCCAACTTAACGTTTAGGTTCAGTGTGCCTCTAACCATTCGGTGATCGCTACCAGTTTTCACCCTCGCGATCACGGAGACATCACTGAACAGTTGTCGTCTGGTCGTCATAATGAAGTCAATCTCATTTTTTGTCGAACCATCGGGGCTCGACCAGGTCCACTTCCTGTGGGGCCGCTTCTGGAAGAAAGAGTTCATCATAAAGAGTCCCTCTTTCTCCATGAAGTCGGCCAGCTGCTGGCCCCTTGGGTTCCGTTGCCCTATTCCAAATTTCCCTACTTTCAGCTCTCCGTTCTCTCTTGTGCCTAGTTTTGCATTGAAGTCTCCCATTAACACCGTATATTGGGTTTTGGAGGAATGCATGGCTCTAGAGATATCCTCATACATTTCCTCCACCTCCCCATCGGGGTGTGCCGAGGTTGGTGCGTAAGCCTGTATGACCTTCAGCGAATACCGTTTGGTGATTCTGAGTATAAGGTACGCAACCCTCGTCGACACACTCCCGATTTTTACAACGTTGTTAACGAGAGATTTGTGGACGATAAATCCGACACCTCCTTGGGACAGATGGTCGCCCTCCCGGTGATAGAGCAAGTTGCCGGATTCGAGGATTACCGTGTCCTCCCCCTCTCTTCGGACTTCTGATAATCCTATAATATGCCAGCGCAACTTGTCTATCTCTTCTTCCAGCTCCACGATCTTCTCGTCAGTCCTCAGGGTGCGTGCGTTGTACGTTGCCAGGTCGAGTCGTCTAAGGTGGCAACCGATCCTCCACCGGAGATTCTTAGCACCCCCTGCCCCGCCGTTACCATGGTCGCCACCGTAGCCAGGAATAGCGTGGCCGCCGGGGACTGGGGGCCGTCTCTTAGTTACATTCATAGGGGGGTATTTGCCATAGTTGCCACGCTTGGCGAGCGGGTTGGCAACCGCAGTTTTTTTATTGTCAGGCCCTACATACACTAAGGCAATTCATGTAAAACTCAATGTGACATTCCATATGACAAATCCACACTCTTCAGGTATCCTGAGTGGAAACTGCTCAAAATGTATGCCGACAGCACTGCTCATACATATCCGCCAAACGTTTATTACTCAGATTGTAGGCCTGAGAATTCAGACTAGTAATACTGCAGCCAAAAGATGCGCTGCAGTGGCACCGCATCGCAATGATTTCGCCACACTGGATAACAAAGAGGCGTTGTACCGTAACAGCTGTCGTAAAACTTTATTTGTATAAAATTAACTAAGTGGTTTTGCCTTACGGCATCATAATTACTTAAATACCCTGATGACGCCGTAAGGCAAAAACTGGTCAGTTATATTATGGTCAATAGATGAAATCACCATAACAGCCCTTCACAAGTCCACTGCTAAACATAGGCCTCCCGCAAGGAATGCCACAAAGCACGGTCCTGAGCCACCTGCATCCATCGACTTCCTGCATGTTTTACCAGGTCATCACTCTATCTCGTGGGGGGACGCCCTACGCTTCGCCTGCTAATACGAGCCTGCACTCGAGAACCTTTCTTACCCATCGGTTGTCGGTTCTTGGAGCTATATGGCCGGTCCTTTGCCACTTCAGCATACTAATACTTTGGGCTATGTCGGTTACTCTGGTTCTACTGCGGATATCTTCGTTTTTAAGTCAATCACGTAGAGAAAAGCCGAGCATTGCCTTTCTACAGCTCGCTGAGTGACTTTGAGCTTCCTCATATGACCAGCAGTGAAGGACCACGTCTCAGATACCTAAGTCATCACTGGCAACACACACTGGTTGTACAATTTCGTTTTAATTTTTTTTCGTTTTGGTTTTAACCTTTAACTAGGCGCGCGGGGTCGCCGCGACCCCAAGTTATCTTCAAGTTAAGTTATTTTTTTAGCTATTGAAGGTGGCAACCCGAATTTTTTGCTAGCTTTCTAACTCTTTAGTCTGCACTCAATTCAGTGTCGCCCGCGCCGCGGAGTTGATCGCACACATTGCACGGAGGTGCTAGGGGTCGCGACGACCCCGCGCGACTAATAGTGTAGTTCAAATTTAGGTAAGTAAATATTTATATATTATGATTTTAAACATTTTTTTTTACCTTATCATGTCAATTTAGAAAATATTTATTCATGTAAAATACAAAATTGTGTAATTTTTTAAGTTTTTGTTTGGTAAACACACGCTATTACGTTATGCATTTTCTCTATGCGTATAAACTACGATGATTTTTTTCAGTTTATCAAGTTGTTTTTAACAGTTATTTATCTTTCACAGAATTATTTCAACATGGCCCAAAATAGGCAGAGTCTTCGACTTGAACAAATAAGTGCGATTCTTGAAGATGAAGAAGAAGCCTTCGATGAGACTGACGATGAGTTGGGCCTAGAAGGAGACGCAGATACATTTTGGGAGCCAGAGCATGAATCGAACTCAGAATTAAGTGATACCGAAGAACCATCCACATCGACCTCATCCCAATCACAATCCGATTTATCTACGTATTTTTTGGATAGAGATAAGAGCACAAAATGGAACAAAACTATTCCCAGCCAAAGAGTAAGACAAAGATCTTATAATATTGTTACCCATTTGCCAGGCTCAAAAGGAGCAGCAAGAGATGCGAAAAGTAAGACTGATTGTTTTTGTTTTTTTTTTTGATAAAAGTATTATAGAATTGATAATGAAACATACAAATGAGTATATATCTTTAGTTCGTCATAAATTCCAAAGGGAACGTGATGCCAAAGACGTAATTTATGAAGAAACGTTGGCTTTTTTTGGATTGTTGGCAATGTACGGAGTTCTACGTTCGTCACATTTAAATTTTCTAGATTTGTGGGCAAATGATGGGACTGGGATAGAGTTTTTTTCAGACACAATGTCAGCAAAACGTTTTTTATTTATCCTACGTTGTTTGCGTTTTGACGACGCTAGTTCTCGATAATCTAGACTAAATGTAGACAAACTAGCTCCGATCCGTCAATTTTGTGACATTCTAAATGAAAATTTTAGAAAGCACTACACGGTGTCAGAATATGTCACTGTGGATGAACAGCTGCCTGCGTTTAGAGGAAGATTTTCAGGATTGGTATATATGCCGAGTAAGCCGAATAAGTACGGAATAAAGCATTATGCAATGGTTGATGCTAAGACTGCCTATCTCCAGAAATTTGAAGTTTACGTAGGGAAACAGCCAGACGGGCCCTACAATATCCCTAATGACACAAAAAGTATCGTCAAACGATTGACCGAAACAATCAAGAATACAGGACGAAATATCACTTTGGATAATTATTTCACTAGTATTGATTTAGCTAAAGACCTTCTAAAAGACAAATTGACAATAGTGGGTACGTTAAGAAAAAATAAAAAAGAAATACCACAAGCATTTTTACCTGACAGACGTCGTGAAGTACACTCAACGCTATTTGGTTTTCATGACGACCTAACTTTGTGCTCCTATGTCTCAAAAAAATCTAAAGCTGTTGTAGTATTGTCGTCTATGCATCATGATGATATCATAGACGAGGGCGAATTGAAGAAGCCGGAGATGATTTTATTCTATAAAAACAAAGGGTGGCGTAGATACTAATGAAAAGATGTGTTCCACATATAACGTTGCTCGGCGGACGAAGAGATGGCCTATGGTTATCTTTTTTCATTTATTCAATGTGTCTGCTATAAAATCATTCGTTATTTATAACTTCAATAACAATGAGGCTACCATAAGGAGACGAATTTTTCTAAAGTTATTATCAACAGAATTAGTAAAAGCACATAGATTAGCGCGAGCAATAGTTCCGTCCCTGCCTAGCGCTTTGAAAAAGCGATTGTCAAAACCCGAAGCTGCGACTCCTTCAACGTCTAACACAGGATTGCACCCAGCAAAAAGAGGAAGGTGCTACATCTGTCCACGAAAAGGCGACAGGAAAACGACCGCAAAGTGTAATAAGTGCAACAATTTTATCTGTGGCGATCATACAAAGAAAATTTGTGATAATTGTTGAATTGTAGTAGTACTTACGAAATACATATTTTTCTATTGTTCTAAATATCTTTCAAGAATTTTTTTGTATTTTTCTAAAAGCTTAATAAGAAATAAGTAGAATAAAATAAATTAAAGTTGATTACTAATTAAAATGTTCCTTATTTCATACCTATCAATATGGGGTAACTGCAGACCCCGCGCGACTAACAGTGTTAGTTTATTGACGCGCCTAACTAAAGGTTAAAGAATGTCTGACGAGAAGATGTGTCGTAGTTTCTCGAACGCTGCCCAGCCGAGTTGAATCCGTCGATTGACCTCTCGGTCAAAGTTGGACTTACCTAGTCGGACTATTTGTCCCAGGTAAACATATTCGTCAACAAATTCGAGCTTAGTGCTCCCAACAACTACCGGCATAGGTGTGACATGGACGTTAACCATGATTTTTGATTTTCATCTTAAGACCTATCCGTAGTGAGACACTATTGAGGTCATTGAGCATAGTGCTTAGGTAATCCAGCCATTCTACCATAAGGACTATATCGTCGGCTAGTCGGAGGTGAGTGATGTACTCGCTATTGATGTTGCTACTGTATCCTTTCCAGTCCAGTAGATTGACAACGTCTTCCAATGCAGCGGTGAAGAGTTTCGGAGATATTACGTCACCCTGTCTTACACCTCTTTGCAGTTGGATAGGTTTCGTACTCTAGTTCTGTACTCGGATAGCCATCGTAGCCCTACTGTACAAATACTTCAGCACTTCGATATACCGACAGTCCACTTGGCACCGCTAGAGGGATTGCAGCACCGCCCAAATTTTGACGGAATTAAAAGCTTTCTCATAGTCCACATACGCAAGACAAAAAGACAAATTGTACTCTTCGGTCTTCTGTACAATTTGCCGAAGGGTATATATGTGATCTATGGCGCTTAAAGCCTTTTCGGAAACCGGCTTGTTCGGGAGGCTGGAAATCGTTGAGTCTGCGTGCGAGACGATTCGTAATGACTCTCGAAGACAGCACGTAGCCTCGGCTCAGAAGGGAAATCGGTCTGTAGTTCTTCAAGAGAGCGTTGTCGCCTTTCTTGAAAAACAAGACCACCGCACTTCTGCTTCACGCCTCCGACGTAGTGCTACCACGGAGGAAGATATTAAAGAGCTTCTGAAGAACTGCTTGTGGAAAACCGGTACTTAAGTACTTTCAGAAGCTCCGCTGCAATTCCATCCTCGCCCTGGGGCCTTGCCCTTTTTAAAGTGCTGGAGAGCCATTCTAATCTCACTCAGACTGACGTCCGGGATATCATAAAATAGTGTTGGATAAGACTAAGCTCTCGGATCGTTACTAACACTTGCGTGTGGCTTCAATGATGACTTGTACAGCTGCCCATAGAACCTCTCAATCTCACTCAAAATCTCAGGTGTCTCGAAAACGATGCTGCCACATTCGGTCTTCCGCTTCGATAGTTGGCACTTTCTGGCAGACAGATTTTCGGCAAAGACTTTGGAGCCCTGGTTCCGCTCGATCGCTTCTTCAATAAGAGCAGTATTAAGGTCGCGAAAGTCCCACCGCATGCATTTGAAGATCTGGCTGTTCAGTTACCTGTATGCTATCAAATCTACTGAAGACTGCAACTTCATTTCCTGTCTAACAGCCATGAGATTAAGAGTGTGATCGGAGACTTTTTGTGTTCTTCTGCGGCGGGTCTTGCAGAACTTAGCTCCGACCGCATGGACAGTTTTCACGAGCTTGTCATTTATATCGTCCACTACATTGCAATCTTCTATGCATTGAAAACGATTTTGTAATTCGAGCTGAAAGGTTTCGGGACTCTGGAATAGAGCACGAAGGGGACGGAACGTTGACTTCATTAAGGACTGGGGGCCGTTTATTAATATAATTGCTCATGGGGGTAAATTGCCATAGTAGCCACGCTTGGCGAGCGGGTTGGCAACCGCAGTTTTTTATTGCTTTTTGCTGTTATCAGAAAGATGGTGCTGCCCATCTTCTGCCTCAGTTTCCCTCTGTCGCCTTTTACGACACCCATGGGAAGATATGGGGTAGTGAGTATTCTTACCCGTGACTACACGGGGAATAGATGGAAAAGTAAATTAAATAAGGACAAGTGTCAATCCTTTAAAATTTTAATATGTTTTCCGATTTTCACAGACTAATGTAGAAAAGGATCTACGAGGGGTGGTGAAAATTACTGTTGGCTTAGGCGGAGCGATGTGTCTTACGGCTGCAGCTTTACAGCTTTTGGCTCTTTTTCCAGCTAAAAAGCCTCGACTTCCTGTGCTACTAAAAGCTGCAACAGCGGGCACACATTCCGCTGCAATATTAACGCTGTTAGAATGTGATAGTAGACAGGTAACTATTTTATTTAACAATGCTTGCAATACTAGTATTCCGGAACTCGCTTTTAGTTGACCCCAATAAATGTAGTTGTAGAGATGATTTACAAGTTATTTACCATCAAAGATTATATATTACGTATGTTTTCATCCTATAGTCGAATAGATAATTCCCAGCGAGAGTAAGCACCCCTTCTTAGTGATAGAACTGTTTTTTCACTTAGGAGTAGGTGTGGTTTGATAGTAATTTTTTTTGTAGCTAATAAGCAGTGCAATTGGTGGTATGAGGCTATCTGTTGCTTGTTGCTTTCTATTTAAACTAAACACATAAATGTGTTTTTAGTACAATTTTATTCGTAAAGTTTTAAATATATTTAGTTTTTTTCTTTCAAAACCTAATAAAAGTACCTATAGACAAAATATAGTGGGTTCCATCAAACGTTACACAAATTTAACGATTTAAGCTAACTTTGTGTTACTATATATTTGCATACATTCTAACTTTCTATGTTATGGGGTTAGTGTAGATTTGTAGCAATTAGTCATTAAAACCTGTTTTGATAAGCAGCACAAGTTAAAAAAAAACATTATTATAAAATGTAAGATTTACTAAAATACAATATTTTTTCGTTTTTTTTTTAATAAGGTAACGACATATTCATTTACTCGTATTTGCTTCGTGAAAATATACCTACAATATTTATTATAATAGTTTAAAATTAAATGAAATTAAAAACAATTTGTCATACAATCCAACTGTGGTATTATATCAAGAATGCCGGCTATGTTTTCTCGCTGAACGGCTATACTAAGCTTTTGAGTGAGAAAAGAACCGGCCTCTTGCCTCCTCTCTCAGCTCTTATCGTCAACGGCGACGAAAAGTCGTGGATACACTTCCTACAGAAACTTCACCGCACGTGGACCCAACAGACCGACACGAATCTCTCTGAGACTCATAATCGCATGATTATATTCTACTTAATTTATTTACAGTGTATCTGAACGGGATTCAAATACTACGTACTCGCATTGTGAATAATTATCTTATTAAAAAGTAAAGCTATTAGCGGTTTGGAGGTTATTAAAACATCTTTATTTCATAGTCTTTTTAATTGTGGTGTAAACATAAAATGACGAAGGTCGGATTGATAAAGCATAACTATTTTTTTATAATAGCTTCAAAAAACAGTAAATATTTTAAAAGGAGGAGGCATGCCCAGGAGCACTTGGTTGGATTTGCGCAGCATGCTGGTGCGCAGGGTGGGCAGCGCTATGTGCGCAACCGTTAATGCTTCAGGCTGAATTAGCTGGAAGGGGCCAACGAACGACATCTGTTGGTTTAGTGGCAGGTTAGAAATTTTAACTTCTACGCCGTTATCCTTTAGCAATTGGTAATATGAAGGGCCTATCAATCTAAAAGATTGATTTTTTTTTAAATAAACAATATCTGGGCTGGGTTTCATCCTTTTCTACCCATTTCCGGTCTGTTCTATTGTGTTCTGTTCCATCTATTCTAATCTATTCTATTCTATTCTGTTCTGTTCTATTCTATTCTAATCTATACTATTATATTCTATTCTATTCTACTATATTCTACTTTATTCTATTCTATACTATAATATTCTACTCTATTCTATTCCATTATATTCCATTCCATTTCATTCTATTCCATTCTATTCCGTTTTATTCTATTCCATTCTATTCCATTCCACTCCATTCCATTTCATTCTATACCATTCTATTCCATTCTGTATCATTCTATTCCATTCTATTCCATTCTATTCTATTCTATTCTATTCTATTCTGTTCTGATCAATTCTATTTTATTTTATTAATTAAATATATTCTACTCTGTCCGTGTACTATAAACCAAATTAGGTGTTTTCATCGTTTGTAGGCTGTTTTTAAAAAATTATTGAATGGAAGTCTCACTTTTGAAACCCGCAGTAAATCAAACTTAAAATTGCATTTCAAAATTTTGTCGACATTGTACTCGGTTTGCTAACATATTATGCAATTTCATCTGTTGTATGAACTCGTGCTATTTTATTACTTTGGTTAAATTTATTTATACTAAAAACATTCAAAGTCAAAGTCAAAGTGAAAATACTTTTATTAAGGTTGTCCTCTACAAAGCACTTTTTGTAATTCCATAAAGGTTTACTATCGCTTCAACAAATTTCTACTGCAGGAGACTTTCAGAGAAGAAGCGGCAAGATACTCACAAGTAGACTATTTTACTCTAAGGGATACTTATTTTCTAATTTATTTTCAGGAGTATGCACACTTGATTGGCTGACTGCCCGACTTTGGGGAGGCGCTCCATTGCAATTGGGTTCAGCTTCGCAAGTTGTGTGTGCAACTGGATGTGCACTTCTGGCTGTTTTGTGTATTGTTTTGGCTTTATGTGTATCGTTGCGACTGAGAACAATGACGCATAAAATACCAGCAGAAAGGAGAACATATCTTAAGGATCGGTAAGTTTTATTAATGGAAAAGTTGACAAATCAATGCAGCATTTACAAAATAAAATAGAAAATGTGATATTATTAAAAGGGGGAAAAGGTCCTATATGGGATTTATATATTTGTAGGTTATACATAATATTTTAGACTTTTACTTTATACTTTCACAGAAGTTTTTATTTAATTTGAACTAATAAAGGAGACAATTTCTTTTTGTATGGAGAATGGGCCAACCACAATTTGTGACGACACTTGATGAAATACATGTATATTTATTCCTTATAATCTCTAGATTACAATATGACGTAAGTAAAAAGGAGGAAACGTATATTGGTATATTTATTTGTAGGTCTGGGGGCTGCATATTTTTACATTGAATCACAAACATTTTCTTTTACTTTGAACTAGTAATTTTCGTTTTGCAAATGCAGCTACGCATTGTTTCCTTTTCATATTGAAAACCGACTTCAAACAGGAGGAGGTACTTAATTCTCCTCTTTTTTTTATGTGCCTTACCTCATAACTTTTTCCTGGGTAAACCAATTTCAATGATTTCTTTTTTAATTGAAAGCTGGTGTTTTACAGGTGGTCACATATAAATTTGATAGAAGTCTGACTAACAATTTTAGGGTTATTTTTAATAATTTATATTGAAGATGGTTGTACAAATTTTTTAATTTTTAATTAATTATGTTAAAACCGGTGCAGAACCAGAGTGCGAAACCTACCCAACTGCAGAGAGGTGTAAGACAGGGTGATGTAATATCCCCGACATTCTTCACCGCTGCATTTGAAGACTTTTTCAAGCTACTGGACTGGAAAGGATACGGTATTAACGTCAATGGCGAGTACACCACTCACCTTTGATTTGTTGACGATATAATCCTTATAGCAGAATCGCTGGGGGACTTAAGCACTATGCTCAATTAGTGTCTCTCAACGGATATGTCTTAAGATGAACATGAACAAAATAGAAATCATGTTAAACGTTCATGTCATACCTATGCCGGTATTTGTTGGGAGCACTAAGCTCGAAGTTGTTGACTCTGAATAGGTAAGTCCAACTTCGACTGAGAGGTCAATCAACGGATTCAACTCGGCTGGGCAGCGTTCGAGAAATTACGGCACATCTTCTCGTCAGGTATACCTCAAAACTAGAAAACGAAACTGTACAACCAGTGCGTGTTGCCAGTGATGTCCTATGGAACTGGTCCTTCACTGCTGGCCGGATGAGGAAGCTCAGAGTCACTCAGCGAGCTATGGAGTGGGCTATGCTCAGCGTTTCTCTGCGTAATAGACTTAAAAACGAGGATATACGGAGTAGAACCAGAGTAACCGACGTAGCCCAAAGAATTAGTATGCTGAAGTGGCCATGGGCCAGCCATATAGCTCGAAGAACCAACAACTGATGGGGAAGAAAGGTTCTCGAGTGGCAGCCTCGTACTTGCAGGTGAAGTGTAGTGGTAAGACATGCATTAAGTCAATGGATGCAGGTGGCTCAGGACCGGTATTTGTGGTATTCCTTGGGGAGGCCTTTGTTCAACAGTGGACTTGTGGAGGGCTGTAATGATGATGATGATGAAAACCGGTCCGTTTGCGTATATGTAGTAGTATTATATTATAGTATTAAATTAACCTATTTTATTGCGTACAAACAGGCGCCGTATTATTCGCCATACGCTTGTGTTGCTGTTCACAACATCCGCTGCACAGGCCACAGGAGTCATTTACGTTCAACCAGGCACACGGCACATATCACAGGTTGCCGCCTTTTCTGCAGCTGTTTTAGCTAATGTGAGTTATTATTTATTCTTATTTTATTTAAAATGAAAACTAACCTAGCCTAACTTAAGCAAATGTTTAATTTTTTCAATTATGAACCTCTTGTAGGGCATAGCCATGCTGGTTTGCTACGTTATACACGACGACGAGTGCTTACAATCTGCAAAAAGAGTACTTTCGTTTCCATCGCAACGTGAATGGGAAGACTCACCAGCCGGTGACACTTCACTTAGCTGTCAGTAATCTCGAGTAAATCTATCTTTTTTATTCATTATTTCAGTTTTATTAGTAATAACACTCAGTATTTTGTATTTGTACATTATTTTACTCACATTTAATACGCATTTTTTTCTAATTTAGAGGTAAACTATGTGTAATATGGTCTAAACATAAATTTATAAATCGTATAGAACGTTATCCTTGTGTTTATATTTTGTGATCATTAAAGGGCGACTGTAAAATTTTATTTACCATAAAATGTTACATATTTACCCTATTATAACTTTTCCGCCACGAGAGTAATTTTTCAAAAACCATATACATTAGATACTACTCTCTTACCCATTTCTGACGAATGCCAAATAGAAGTGCCTATACTCCTTTGTTCCGGTTTGAAGAGTATAGAAAGCCAGTATAGTTACAGACTGTTAGGCATTCCACCCTAGTCCTCTGAGGTGATAACGCATCTGTAGCCTTCTTTGTTTAAAGTTGGCCGCAGGTGTCCTTGGGTTACAGCAGCCACTGACCATCAGGTGAACTGTAAGTTCGTTTGTTAATTCAGTTTTCATGTTCATAAAAATTGTTACTGAATCTTAAAGCTATGATTCGTTTTATTTTAGACAAATTTAGTATACAGTGTTTTCAAGTACACTGACAATATTTTTTTCTTCGTCAGCCTTTCTTAATTCATAACTTGAAAGATTTGTGAGAGGAGTTAATTGTTCATGATACATATTTTCAACTATATAAGTACTTATCATTTTAAGTATTATTTCATTTTAAATATGAAAATATTTTCAAACGGTGTATTTATACCTTATATTTACGCTAATAATACATATGAAATAAATATAACTTTATTACTTTATAGTGTTTCATTTTAAATAATTTTTAGTACCTACATTTTCTTTTACTATAATTAATTCAAATCATTTATAAACAATTTTAGTGTATATAAAACAAGGCGGTGAAGTGGAAAGTCGGGGAGGTGTTGGTATGTTGGAATCATCGTCTTCGCCAGTGTCTCCAGTTGCTTCATACTGGCGAGCACCAGGTCTTGAAAGTCCTGCTGGAATGCATAGGTAATATTTATAGGGTAACCAAAATATATGTATAGAACACGGTAGATATAACATATCGAGATTTAGAAAGAAATAATTGGCTAACCACGGCTTTGTATAGCGCCACCTTTGTTACTCACACCTGTGTGACGTTTTGTCGCTGACTTGTCAGTTATTGTATGAAATCGGCCCCGATCATTGTCCAATTCAAATGCAAAGACGTATTAAAAAAAGATAGACAGGTTACACACTAACATTATTGTATTTTAAAGTGGCGCAGGTAGTACTATATCTACGTACAGTTATTTATTATGACACGTTGCGCTAATAAAAAGAGAAATGATAGGGCATACCTATCGTTAGAAAAAGATGAATATATATCATTAGTTGCGTATTGATTGCTGCCGAGCGCTCATTGGCGCGATCGCATGATATACCGATATGGAAAATGAACATACTAGCTAGCGTCTAGTGTTTAAATAATAAAACCAATTATGAACAAAACATCTATATCCAAAATATTAATGAGACGTTTTTCTTATCTCTAACAGTCGTCGTGTAATTTGTGCACCACCTAAAAACATAGGAAAGCATTTTTGCCGCAAATAAATAGAAGATTTACGCGTTGTAGCATAGGTATAGCCGCGACGCGAGAGCGTGTCCGACTGCATGAGAGTCGGGCAATTACCTGACTTTTGTATTGCCATTTAAGAGCGAGTACGAGTATGACGTATCTATAATTTTGAAAACATCTTAGTTCAAATGTAGTATAGTATAGTTCCTAAACCCCCATTTTAAAATGGTTTTATAGCATCTTAATAATGAAGAGGTTTCTTCATTGTTAAAAAATATAATAAAAAATATATAAAATAATAATATGAATATTTTGTAAAAGTTTAATATTCCTTTTTTAGCGTTTATATTTAATTACATGCACAGCTCATGAGATAATGCTTTATAAAGCCGAAGCTAGCAGTTTTTCTCTTGCTAAATCGATGTGTTATATTTGCGGCCGGGCATTGTAATATAAATGTTTCGAAAATGTATCTTATGTTTGGTGAATTTTGTATATAATTCATTTTTCTTCTTATTTTAATTTCTAAACTGATCCATCGTTACAAATTTATATTATTTAATATGTTAAGAAAACACTTCATGCAACTTTTTACTATGAATAAATTTAAAAAACCCTAAATAAGATAAAATTTAATAAAATGGTGAAAATTACAACGCAGCACATGCGACGAACAATATAATATTGGGGTCACGACTTTGACCTCTGTTGACCCCAAGCCTTCACTTATCAGTTTATCCTTCGTTCGTTAATATTTTAATATTGTATATATTTCAACGTTATATAAATAATTGTTAGTAACAATGCATACAAACGCGCCATATTTGCAGTCACTTCAAAAAAAAAAAAAACGTCACAGACAACGGTGTTGTGAATTGTAGTAAAAACTTTTAATTTAATAAATATATTAGTAAAAATAATTTTAATGTATTTTGGAAGTATTATTCCGGTACCTACGTGACTTTCTGATCGGATAGGGTATTTTACATATTATGTACAGGGTTTATGTTCACTTTTCTACCTAAAAGTCCGTGTAGGTTGGTACCAATATATAATATAAAATATTTCGGCCGGAAATCAGTTGTGTTCCGATTTGAATACTTAAAGAGCCATTATTTCCTACAATGCAGAGGTCCATGAACAGCAGTGGATTTTAAGAGGCTAGTAAAAAAGAACAAGAGTAAAATACGTAAACATCACTTTTGTTTCATTTAATTGCAGGAGGCAATCAATGTCCGATAGCCGAGCTGATATAGTACGTTGTGTAGAACTCAAGGAATCTATGGCGACCTCGCATCGATATGAAACTCGACATATTACTACAACCCATGCAGTTTGCGATCTGATTCCAAACTCACCAACCCAGACAGACTACATAGCAAGGGTTTGCTTGGAATTGGGAGTCGTCAACACTCCGCCTCCTAGAGAATCTCCTGTGCCTCTACTTACGTATTCTGTGGACTTTGAACCGTACTCGGAAAAAAGTTTCGATACGTCCAAAGAATCTTGCTCAATATGCACTCAGTCTAATCCCGATGTTTCAAGAATATCATCACCACCTATCAAAAGCTGTTTAAAAAAGAACAACAAAAACCCGGAATATACTTCTAGCATCTCACTGCCGTCCATGGATGTAACGTGTGAGGAACCGAAAACGAAATCGGATATTGATCAAATCAATAAACAGTGGAAAAAAGCATATGATTCTCCTGAAACAAATAAAATGTTAAGTAAAATATCGAATGATTTAGATTTTTTATTAAATAGAACCCGGGTAGTAAACAAAAGCAGTATACACGATCACATAGAAAAAGCCCCAACTTAAAACTGTACCAGAGAAATTGTATTTTAAGAAAAAAACAATAAGAAAAAATGGAAACAGGGGTGCAGTAAGCCAAATATTAGATAAAATATTTTGTGTATATAATTTGTAAATGTTTAAAACATACTAGCTAAAACATACTACTATTATCTAATCAATTCCAAAATCTTTTGATAGTTTGAATTGGTGTAAATATTTTTGAAGTATTCGCTTTAAACATTTAAGTTAATGGTACAAAATATTGTGAGAAACTTGTTAATAATTTATTTATTTTACTTTAATATAGTTACAAAATAATAATGTATTTGTAACTATTGTTATCAAAATATTCATTTGTAACTACAACCTCTTTTATTCTTTAAAGTTTTTTTGATAAGCAATATCTAAACGCAGTAGTAAGTTAACTAGCTAAAAGAAAAACGAATGGAGAGACTATTAAAAAAAAACGTGCAGAGCTTATTATGTACCTACTGAAAAAGTTAATTAGTCCCAGGTTTGGTATATTTTATATGTGCAAATTTTTGAGTTTTTAAATTATTTTTTAAAAGACTGACAATTTTAATATATTAAATACTTAAATAAATAAATGCACAAAAAGAAAAGTTTTAAAATTTCCTTTTTCTTATTTTCAGTTATAATATAATTTATCAAATTGTTATTATCATCAATTGCCTACGATAAAAACTAGCAATTTTAGTGGCAATTATTCAGTTTATATATGTACTTAATAAACAGTCTAATTGAATAATTAAAATTGGTAGCGCATTTAATTTACTTTCATCATATCAATACCTCATCTGAAATGGTTAGGGCATAAAATATGTAGGAACATAATTTAGGTTTTATTACCGTTACATAATAAACACTCACGGCTATCACCCAGAGAGGTTGGCAGAGACTACGGACTTTTATTTGGCACGATCCTGAATGAAGTAGTTTTTTGGTTATGTTTGTAAAAAAATATTATTTTAAGAAAAACAAATAATTACATTAATTTATCTAGTCATATTTATAATCACATTGCTTTAAAAAATCACTCCAATGAGTTTTGCACTAATTAATTTTTATATGTAATTATACAACAGTGCTAACAGTGGTAGAGCCACGCGGCAGCTTTTGCTGTCGCACGGATGGGCCGGCTCGAACCGGGGTGGTACCACGACCTCACAGAAAACCAGCGTGAAGTAGAGGTTTACCTCTGCGTTTCGCTTGGTGAGTGCAGGTGGCCGGAGGCCCTCTTTACTGGAAATGAGGCATTCCATCTTAGTCCTCACGGGTGACAACGCATCTACATATTGATTTGTAATAGAGGATAGATGTAGATGTCTATGGGCCACAGCAACCACTTACCATCAGGTGGACTGTGTGCTCGTTTGTCACCCTTATCCTATAAAAAAAAAGAAAAATACACACAGCCAACCCATTTAACCTCAATTATATATTATAAAAACTTTATTAAGTAATGAATGTATATTATTTAAACGTGTGCTTCATAATAATATTATATTGCGAGACTATGCATAAAACATGCACGTTATTGAACTTGAAATTTATCAAAGCGTCAGCAAATTTATAAGTTCTTATTATAATAATATGTAATATATTCTTATATACTGAATATTTATACCATTTTCTGTAGAGACTATCGGTCCGTGGGGTCCACGTGCAGTGAAGTTCATAAAGGAACTCTACCCGCGACTGGTCGTTGCTGCTGGTGAAAAGAGGGCTGGTTCTTTTCTCGCTCAAATGCTAAGTATAGGCATTCAGCGAAGAACGCAGCCAGCGTTCTTGGCACGATACCACGGGGAGTAGGACTGTATGATAATTAAGTAATAAGTTTTAGTTTTTTTTTTAATTATAAGTTTTAATATTGTATATATTTATAGATATTCTTATTAAATGAATATGTTTTTAAATAATGAAGATGTCAAATGTTACCGACTAGTTGCCGCCAAGTCAGCAGCCGTTATGGTATAGAGTTGAGTCGATATAATTTGCAACAGTCATTATGGTAAAACTATAAAAATAATATTAGGTCTTTACCTATGAAATATCAGTTTTTTGATGAAATAAGATAACGTAATTTTTTTTCTATATATTTTATTTCAATTAATCAAAGTAATCACCCATGCAAACGATTCATCTTTGCCAACGCAGTGGCAATTTATCGAATTCCCTTCTTGAAGATATCAGTTGGACGGGAGGCAACAAATTCTTCAAAGGCATTTTGTACTGCCTCGCGAGTATTGAATTTTTTCCCACCAAGAAGTTATCCAAATTCTGAAAAAGTAGTAATGTGTAGGCATAAAATTTGGTGAGTACGGCGGATAATGAAGACCTTGAAAAAACTTGGAGACCGTCTGTTGTGCAATATGAGGTCGCGCGTTGTCGAGCAATAGTAGTGGGGACAAGCGATTGACCAAAGCTGCTTTGACGACGTGCGAGCATCTCTATCACTGTGTTCATATCTTCAGAGTACAGATCTGCAATAATCCCGTGTGGTAAGAAGCCGTGATGAATCACACCGGCGTTAGACTACCAAACAGTGACAATCACTTTTCTAGGGGTAAGTTTTCGTTTAGGGCATTGTTTATATGCAGAAGCAGGATCCAATCAACTTATACTTTTTTATAAAACAAATTTTAAGTTAGCAAAACAAAAATGATTTTGATTTGGCCAGTACTGCAGGACGGCAATTTCATAGGTAAAAACCTATTAAAAAGCGAGAAGAAAGGTTTTAAAATATAAATGAATTTTACATACTCTAAATAACCATATTTAGAACTGTATTTAAATTAAATCATTGAATATTTTTCAGATCCATTTATTATTGTCGGTTTATTTTATCAATAAACTAAGTAAAACTTGATGAAATTATTTAATATTTAGGACCATACATGTTATCATCCAAGTTGTACATAATATAATAATTGTAGATAATATTGTCAAGATTATTGAGTACGAATTAAAATTTATGTTAATAGAATACAATATATTTTTGTTTAAAATAATTTTTTTACCACTCATATATTGTTTCATTTATTAACAGTCCGTTCAACAAGTATTTCATTGTTTTTAAACACCCTATTGTTATAACGTCATAATATTTACAAAATATATGATTTTCACAGATCTAAATATACGCAAATAAACATCAATCTCCTTACGTATATATAATATATAATATAAAAATTTATAATATATAATATAAACATATAACACGGGTACGTTCCATTTTAAAATTTCGAGCATCTCAAAACTTATTGAGTGACCTACGTACCATTCCCAACTATTATATTTGGGCTGCGAAGTTCTAGTGAACCCAATAATTGTATCCCATGAAAGAAGAATATCAGACTATCAGTAGAATTTCAGCCTGTGATGGATTTCATATTAGACTTGAATCAAAATTTGTCTAACTTAGAGATCATTTTTAAATGTTTTCATCATCTATAAACAATCTTCAGAGTTTTAAAGAACCTGCTAATATTCTTCCATTGCTAATTTAAATTCTCCGTGAATAACAATTACTAGTATATCTGGGCTGCCCGAAGGACTGAGTTAGGCAAACAAGAGAGATAAATGTACCTCGGACTGATTCTACACCACCGATATTTAAGATTTTTAAAGCAATTTTCAAACTCAAACGGCATTCAAAATACAAACATTTTGATAGGTTATTAAAAAAAAAACATCAATTTGTCAATGACACACATCAGTTACATAAGTTTTTTCGAAACCAGTTTGTTAGTCAGTTGGCTTTTAAGCAATGGAAAAAGGTTTTTTCGTTTCTGATACATAAATTGGCCGTTAATACAATGTCCTACCATTAATGTTATAATGTTTATAGCTAGTCTTTGCGTCAGTCGCTAGTCACTGTCGCCTGCAAGCTGTACGTTTTCGTCATTGAAAAACGTTGCGAGTCACTCTTGCGGAAACCGCACCACGTGAATTTCACAAACGAATGGCTTTGTTCGTTAATGGAAATAAAATTTAAAGTAACTCATTATTACCTAAGAGTCAGCTGTAGCATTAATAAATAAAATGTTTTAATCCCATTCAACCTAAACTCAAAATTACACTGTTTATTTTCAGCGTTTTTTAATATTGAAGTTTCAAGTTACGATTTTTATATAATAAAAGCTATTTTATAAATTGCGCGTCAATATGCTTTTATTTAAAATAATTGTGAAGTCTACCATGGAGGCCGTTGTAACAAAATTATAGATTTTCGTACCTAATGATTGATTCAGGAGATAGGCAGCAGCATCTTTTTGATAACAATAATAGCAGTTTTTGATAACAATGACAGCAATAGTACAATAAATAAATAGGTTACCAACCGTATTACACTGTTAATGTCAATTAATGGGCCGAGATTATAAAAATGTGCATGTAATTTTGTACAAACCTGCGATATAAAATTTCTTTACGACATATTATTCTTCTTTTTTCTATTAAACCGACTTCAAAAAAGAAGGAGATATTCGCTTCCATTGTAATTTTTCAGTGTTTACCTCAGAATATTTTTTATATGTGAACCGATTCTGATAATTATTTTTTTATTGAAAAGCCGGTGCTGGTTCATGTAGTTACATATAAATTTGATCAGGATCTTACCAATCGTTTTTAAGTTATCCTTAATTATTCGTGTTTAATTGACTTCAACTACATTGATGACGTTCTCATTTTATTTATATTGATCTCGGTTTTTAATTTTACCACTTGTTTACATAAATAAGATAAAAAATAAAAATGCCTTTTATTCCATGCCAAAGAAATTTTACAATATAACTTTTTACAATATATTTTACATTTTATAAAAGAAAAAGAAAAAATATAATTTTAAATTATTTTTTTTTTGATTTTAATAAATTAATATATTTTAATTATTTTTTTTATTTAATTACAATTGTTCAATTAATTTGATTGAGTTAATTCATTTCATAAGTCTGAGTATTACAATTATTTTTATAATATTTGGTTAAAATTTAAATAAGCAT